CTGAACCATTGGCCCAGCTCGTCGGCCGCCCTCTGAAGGCTGTTGCCCACCAGGGCGGCCGACGGGCTGTCCACGTAGAGTGCTGTGTCGTCAGCGAAGAGGGCGAGTCGCACTCGGGGCTGGCGTGGGATATCGTTGGTGTACAACGAGAAGAGGGTGGGCGAGAGGACGGCGCCCTGCGGGACGCCGGCTCTGATCGGTCGTGCGCTGGAGCGCGCGCCGTTGACGCGGAAGCGATAGGTTCTGTTCGACAGGAAGGCTCGTATGATGTGCACGAGCCTGTCCGGCACTCCCAGTTTGTGCAGCTTGTAGACTAAGCCGCTGTGCCAGACTTTGTCGAAGGCCTTCGCCACGTCGAAGAACAGGACACCGGTGGCCCCTTTGGGCTTATAGTGTCGGGCCTCTAGGATGTGTTCCACGAGGCGGTGAACCTGATGAACAGCTGAGTGCTTGGCTCTGAAGCCGAACTGTTCATCGATCAGTATGCCCTCGGACTGTAGCCAGTCTTTCAGGCGCGCGAGGATGAGCCTCTCATACAGTTTCCCCAGCGAGCTGAGGAGGCTGATGGGGCGGAAGCTGGAGGGGTGGGACCTGTTTTTCCCCGGTTTGGGGAAACCTATCACGTCGGCCTCTTTCCAAGCCTCCGGAAAGATGGCATTGGAAAGGGCCGCGTTGAAGATGGCTACTAGGAGTAGCAGAACGCGTTCGGGCAGGCTCTTGAGGAGTCTGTTCGTGATTCCGTCGGCGCCGGGCGCCTTGCGGGTCGTGGACTTCTTTATGAGCGTTTGCACCTCATCGAGAGTAACGGGGGAGTGTGGTAGTGGGTGGGATCGACATTATCCGCTCTACCTCCGATTCTACCTCCTGCAAGTGACCGTCCGGCACCGGAAGGGTGCTCGGTGAACATTGGGCTTCGAGGCTGTCGGCTAAGCATTCAGCCTTGTCCTCGTCGAAAAGGGCGGGGGTATCGTTCTCTCGGACCAGTGGCGGTAGGTCCGAGTAGTCTTGGTCTGTTTTGAGAGATTTGGCTGCTCGCCAGTACGCGGTGTTGCTGGGGGTGAGCTCCCTAGTGAAGCTGTCCCACCTGTCTCGCCGAAGTTCCGCCATGCGTTCCTTTACGTCACGTTGTAAAGTTCGCAAGCGGATTCGGTTTTGCTCTGATGGATAGCGATCGTAATATCGCGTGGCCGCGTTCTTCGCGCGCAGCAGAGCCCTTGCGTCATCAGGTAGGTTCCATCTGCGGTCTCCCGTGTCCGGAACCTCCCTGGAGCAGTCCTTGACTGCCGACTGCAAGTGCTCTGTGAGCGCTCCTATGGCAGCGTTAGTGTCGTCTGCCGTCTCGATGATGTCGGGGATGCGGTCCAGTGCCGGAGTGTCGATCGACTCGAGGACTTTCTCGAGCCGGCTCCAGTCTGTGACCGTTTTGAGTTTCGGCGCCCCGTCAGGTGGCGGGCCGAGAGTGACTACGACGGGGCGGTGGTCTGAGGTCAATTCGGCATGGACCTCCAAAGAACTCAGCCTCAGAGCTATGTTCTTTAGCAGGGCCAGGTCGAGAATGCAGGGCTGGTGCCGAGGGTTTACTGGATAGTGGGTCGGATGAAGCGGTGGCAGAATGTCGAACTCCATGGAGTGCGAGAGCCTCTCCAGGGTGTTTCCATTCGTGTTGGGACGAGCACAGCTCCAAAGCGTGTGCTTGCTGTTGAGATCTCCGGCTATTATAACCGATTCTCCCAGGTCCAGAAGGGACTGGAGGTCGGCGCGGAGGATCCGTTTGGTGGGAGGTAAGTAGGCCGATACGAGATAGATCGGCCGGTGGTCGGTCATCGCTAGGAGGCATACCGAGGCTTCGATGTTTTCGAGCGGAGGCGTGTCGATCGGGATGCATTGCAGGGACCTTCGGTAATAAATGAGCGTTCCGCCGTCCTTGGTGACGCGGTCGTCTCGCTTGATAAGATAATTGGCGATCCTGGGATCGCGCATCGAGGGTTTCAGGAAGGTCTCCTGCACGAGGAGAACGTCCACCTGATGGTCGGTGAGAAATTTGTGTACCTCGTCTTTTTGATGTTTCAGTCCGTTGGCGTTGAAAAACGCCAACTTAACTGACCGAGGTTTGTACCTTTTGGCCCTTAAGTCCATAATTTAGGCTTCGAAGTTTAATATGGCGACTACGACGCCGATATGCTCGCAGACGGCTGCGAGTCTGTCTTGTGGGGCTGTAATGGTCCTCAGTTTGGAGGCCAGTGTGGTAATTTCGCCAGCGTCGATGGAGCTGGCGAGCTTCGCTACGAGGGCGAAGTCGGCTGCGAAGCCGGAGCCGCCGCTCGCTTTTGGTTGTGGGGCGGGGCGGGGTGGTGGCGGAGAGGCCACTATCTTGGCCAGGGTGGGCGCTGCAGGATGAGCGGGGGTCGAGGGGGTCGCTTTGACGACCGGAGGTCGAACCCACGCGTTTTTAGGCGGTGGGGGCGGCGCAGCGGCCGGCTGCGGGGCTACGGGTGGTGCAGGGCGCGTGGCGCGGGATGACGGGGTCTTAGCGACCTGAGAGGTGGCCTTGTGCTGGCTTGGACGAGGGGCGCGGGGACATCCGCGATAATTGGCCGTATGGCCTTGGTTGCCGCAGAGCACGCAGCTCGGCGGGGTGGAGGTGCCGCTCTCGCGGGGGCACTGCTTGGTGCCGTGGTCACCCAGGCACTTAACGCAGCGCTCGCGCGCGAAGCAGTTGCGAGCGGAGTGGCCATATAATTGGCAACGATGGCACTGGCCAGGGTAAGACCGCTTGTTTGGCGGTTCGATTGTCAGGCCTGATATTAGACAGACCTGTTTGATATTGAAGATGGTTTTCCCCTCTGGGGAGAGGTCGAGGACTACCAGCACCATGTCGAGAGGTGCCTTGGTCCTAGATTTAATCATCCTGTGCACTTCGTGCACCGGGTAATTTTGGGCCCGAAGGTCCGCCAGGACATCCTGGCAGTCCAATTCGCGGGGGACTCCGCGGATCACCACCCGCAGGCGCTTTTCTTCCTCTAGGGCGTAAGTGTGGTACCCCACACTATTAGCCCTTAGGAAGGACGTGAGCTGGCGGTGGTCCGCTGAAGTGGGGACCACAACCCTGATACCCACCGAGGTGACCCTCGCGTGGGTGAAATTGATGCGCCTCTCCTTGAGGGCGCCGGACACTTTATTCCAGGCTGCTTTGTCCTGGATAATTATTGGGGGCGGTTTTTTGTCTCCCGCGTGATCGCGGGTCGCGGGAGCAGCGGTACGGACTGGTGCGCCGTCGTTGGCGCGCTGGGTTTTGGGCGGGGGCAGATCGCGAGCCCGCCGCGTGCGTTTGGTGCGCTTGGCACCGACTACTACGAAGTCGTCTTCCGACGACGAGGAGTTGCCCGAAGGCGAATCGTCCTTGGGGGGGTCGGCCGGAGCGTCAAGCTCCATACCGGCCGGGGAAGAGGGACGGCTGGTCTCGCCTAGCTCTGTACCGGCGCTAGGCGAATCTGGGGGAATTTCCCCAGGCGATGGAGGGGCTGACAGCTCCCCGGTGTCCTCCTGAGTGGCGGACGCCGGCGAGGCGGGAGACTCGTTGTGCACCAGAGGGGTGCACTTCGCTTCTAGGAAGGCCTTGATGAGGCCGGGACCGAACTTCGCCTCTATAAAGGCGAAGAACCGCGGGAGGTCTTCCTGCGTCAGCGACATGCTGGCACAGTCGACCCCCAATAGGAAATTTTATTCTAATATGATTGTCACCCAACTGGAGTCGGGTGTAATTATATAAGAATAGTACTGAATTAAAAATTAATCGTTATCAATTTTAATTAAAAGCTAAAAATTAGAAATTAATAAAAATTTATCTACTAATAGGCCCTTGGAGTGTAGTCGAGATGGCGGGCGAAAGCCGCCGCTCGACGGTTTGTTTACCTCCCCGCCGCGAGGGGCAGGGGGGTGTGTGCCTAACGGTTTTAACGGACGATGATGCAATGCAATAAGTAATTACTTATTATCCTAGCACGATACCTGTATTGTCTCGATACCGGGTGTCGATGTGTTGTTGCCTGCGATGGCAACCCGCTTATGTGTAGCGGCGCTAGTCGCCTGCACCGGCTGGGAGCCGGCGTGCAGCGCCTTCAGCACAGCAGTGCCTTCAGCACAGCACACCACCACACTGCAGTCCGGTGCACTACTCCACTCACTGCACTAGTCCACAACACAAAAGCACAAACACTTTCTAACACTGATTCGCGGAACGGCCGGCCGTTATGCTAACGCGAATCGCGGGAGCAGTTTCTCGAAAAAACGCGGCGAAGTAACCTAACTTCGATGGCGGTTAAACGATGATGATAATGATAACGAGGATGTTCGAATAACAACAATGGATTTGCGATTGCCTATGATGCCGCGTGCGTCACCGTCGGCCGTCGGAATAGGAATTGTGCCGCTCGACGAGAGGCGGCCTATCTTTATACCCGCCCGCTCGCATGATAACGTTTCCAACTCGCGTTAGCGAATCTGCGCGAGCGGGACGGGGCGAGAAAGAACGAGACGCGTGTCTCTTCAGATCGGTACTCTATAGCGTTTATTTATTGCAATTTACAATTTCTTAATTCTATTTATTGTTACAATTTCTATTTCTATTCGTAGGTAATAATGACAACACACAAAGAAATACTTTATTTAACTTACACTATCTTAAATCTATGTAAAATCTATATAAAATAACAGAATACAGAAACGATTAACTAGGGACTTAACAACTATAAATTACGATTACATATATACAAATAATGTCGCGAACAAAGATATAGACTCATTTTTATCCCTGTTAGGGAACATATACCGGTCATGTAGATGAAGTCACGAATATTTTTTTTACAATATTACTGTCTTTATTAATATTAAGAATTATTAATATTATCACTTCCAGATATAATAGTTATGCTGAGGATTTTTTCAAAATACCTAAACGCCATCCGGATGTACCTTGCGCAAGTTCACAAATAGATATTACTATGGACTCGAAATTTCCTAAAATAGTGGCCAAGACGGATATAAAAGTTGGGACTGTGTTGGCTTTAGAGAAAGCATTTGTTGTTTCTCCATGTCCATTCGATGATGCTGGGAGCAATTACACTACGTGCTCCTACTGTCTCAAAATGTCCCTAAATTTATTTCCTTGTGAAGGCTGTACCCTAGCTCTGTTCTGTAGCAAACAATGCAATGAATTATGCCTGAAGGAATATCACAATACTGAATGCCACGTCGCTGGATTTGTTAAGAACAGACCTGATATCCAAATACCACTGAGAGCTGCAATAAAAGTTCGAAACATGTGCAAATCGTGGGACGAACTTGTCGCTCTTTCAAATCGTTACAACAGTAAAAAAGTAAAAAGCTCAATAAATGAAATATTTAATTCAAATAATCCAAGCTCCCTGTTAACTTTTAACTACGATGTAAACTTTTTGCATGGTATGTTGTTCAATGCGACATTGATTTGGTCATTTTGTATTATTATTATAAACAATTCAGAATGTTTTTTTCCACAATCTGGTGATGACAAAGCCAAAGCGATACGTGCTTTTGCAAGAATATTGATATATCTAACAATATTTTCACCACCTACATACATGATACTGCCTGAGTCTGACACATTTGATGAAATTACAAAATTTAGCAAGCATCCGTCTTTTGGACTGTTTCCTTTCATTGGAAAATTGAAGCATTCGTGTATACCGAACACGCGTGCTGCAGCTCTCAACAACACTATGGCATTGGTAGCATTGCAGCCTATTAAAGCTGGAACTGAATTGACCATCACCCCCGTGTAAGTAATCCTAATAAGTAAATGTTTCTGTTGGCTGTTTCTATGTATCACTAATATTATACCTTGTTAATTACTAATTTGTTTATTTATTGTAAAATGAATAAGTAACTTTAAAAAAAAAAAACATAATTTGCATTCTTTCTAAATTTTACTGTCTACTTCAGTAGCGTAACTATACCATTTGGGGCCTGTGGCAAATTCTTTGCCAATGCAAATGATGGGGCCCATATATATATATACCTCTTGAGCCGGGGCCCTTTTGGGTCGGGGGCCCGTGGCATTTTGCCAGCCCTGCCACCCTATCATTACGCCACTGGCCTACTTATTAAAAAAGAACTATGTATCGCTTATTCAAAGCAAATAAAGTATTCTCTTCTATATTTACAATAATTTCGAGAGAATGGATAAAAGAATTATGAAAGAAATAGATGAAAGAGATATGATGCCCGATAAAGGCAAGAATGAATGGAGATGTCGTTAGGGGCCGCCCTAGACGGACGTATGTCGACCAAATAATCGACATGTTGAAAAAGGACCACATTAAAGTATCCGTAACCGGTTAGTGTGTATGAAAAGATTGATGAATGTGGAGGAAACAAAAGAGGCTTGTTTGAATCGAAGCATTTAGCGTTACATTCTTTCTGCCTACCTTAATGGTAGACAGGCATGACAGTATCTATGTATGTATTTATAATATTTATTGACCCAATGTCTGTTTTAAATAAATAACAGGATATTAACGGGGTCGCTGTATTTCCCGTTTCTGACAATTGTTTCAACTTCATCCGGAAGTCATTTTCCGGGAGTATGAGCTGTGACTCAGAACAAAGCTCTATGCTTTGTTCTGAGTCACAGCATCTCGCCTCGCATTGCCAGCGGTAGCTCGCATAGCCCGTGATGACGTCGGTGCCGGCGGGGGTGGGAGCGGAGATAACAGTGAACGGAAACATTGGTGTTGTTTTTTTTTATTGGGTGATAATGAAATGGTAACCCCTCCTGCGCTATCGGTATACAACGGTCGGGCAACAGTGAAAGATAATAGGTGAGAATGCAGATCAGTTGACCACATAAATTAACCATGATGGTTTCCGAGGGAACCGCGTGGGGGTCGACCTGAAAGGGCATATTGCTAGCAATGGGGCTATTAGACCTCATTACTAACAATCCCTTTCCCCCCACATTGGTATTGTTGTTGATGAGTAGCTCTATCTCGTGCAATTATCGTTGAGTGTGAAAAATTAAGGCTATATTCTTCTCACTCAAACAAATCATGGAAATGCTGCAGTCTCCAAAAGACAAAGACCCACTAGGAGTCCTTGGAGTCCACTGATGCAGACGCTATATAAAATTTTTTCTTAAATATCTCCCATGTATAGAAATAGTTTACTTACAATTTTATTATATTACTAAGATAGTGTTTTTTTTTTTTATAACTGTTTCAGATTCCACTGGTTGGATTGTCCACAAACAAAACAAGACAGACAGAACAGGATGTTGTGGTTTTACAGGACCGTTTGCAGTTGTGTGGTGTGTGAAGCAAGCCCACATGATTGGGCGCTGATGAGGCAGAACAGCCAACTGTCTGTTACACAACGGAGGAAACATAAAATGATATTTTCAAATGAATCACCAGAAAATTTCTTCGAACCAAACAAGACAGCGGGCATTTACAAGAAAATTTGTGAATGCTTGGAACTTTTAAATGATGTGCCCTTTTCAAAAGAATACGCGGATATGTACAGATATTTCCGCAAGTGTCTTTTGTATTTACAGGACTATAAGTCGCAAAATATTGTCCTAGATGATAGTATAGATGTATATATGTAAAAATTTTATATTGGCATCATGTTTATATTGGTCAAATTATTATCCAATCAAAGTCAAATTTGTATTACTTGTTTAAACAGTAAATGGATCTCATACTGATAATTGTATAAAACAAATTGTGCAAATAAATTTTCGGTTTCTTTTTTTTTTTATTAACTAAAATTCAGAGATGTATCTACTTTATTAGTCTGTGTGTCGACGCACAAAATCCCATATCCATTACATAGGTGTGTATATATATATATATATATATATATATATATATTCATGCCGTTTGGAATATATATATATATTCCAAACGGGATGTATTATGTAATTTTAACATCAAATTTCTGTTTCGTTTGGCTCCGAAATTTCGGAAAACATTTCATGGTAGGCCCTTAGGATACAAGTGACTGATAACAGAATTAATTATAAGAATTTTTGAATAGTCTTTTTTTTATTATTCTGTAGCCCATTCAATTTCAGCTTAGAAAAACTGATAAGAAACTGTCGCTTTGTTCAACAAAAGTTGATTTTACAACTATAAATTTAAACACGTTGATTTTCAGCAGGACAATTCGAAGGTCGACCTGACAGTATATATTGTTAGCAATGAAGATTAACAATCCCTCTCTTTAGAGCTCTTTTCTTTTTGATGGGTGAAAATGCTATGGTAACCCCGCCTGCTCTAACGGGATACGCTGGCGGAGCACCAGTGAAGGGTGATCGATGAGAATGAAAACAGGCCAGTTAGCCCATCATGATGAATTCATCAGGAATTAACCATGATAGGAGAACCGCAAGGAGGTCGACCTGGTTGAGTATATTGCTAGCAATGGAATTCTCAGTCTCCATAACTAACAATCTCTTTCCCCCCTCTCTTTAGAGCTTGTATTAATCAACTGGCAGAAATTACATACTTAAGTACATTTTTATACACTAGACGGAGATTTTGTACAAAAGTTGTTCCCTTGGGCACCTCTGTCCCATCCGTGTTTATACCGTGAAGCAGCTGTTTTTCGATATAAAGGTTTTTTTTTAATGAATGATAATAGAATGGTAAACTCGCCTACGCTATCGGTATACACCGGCGGGGCACCAGTGAGGGTTTATAAGTGAAAATGAAAAAGTAGATCAATTAGCCGACCGTGATGAATACACCTGGAATTCAACGCGATGGTTTCCAGGGGGCACCACGAGGAGATGGACCTGACGGGTTATATTGCTAGCAATAGCAGTCCTATTAGTAATCGATTATTAACAATCCCTCCCTCCTCGGTTTAAAGGCTGGGATATGGCAGTGAATTTACAGGGTACAGAGGAATATCACCTGAATCCTCAGGAATGGGGACGCATAGGGGGTATCATGGGCGAAACAGTATACTCTGTTATGTTCATAGTACTGCTCATGTCTATAAGCAACGGTTACCACTTTCCATAAGGTCGACCGTCAGCTTGTATACCATGTTAAGTTGCATAAAAGATTTTTTTTTTCTCATAAATACAAAAAAAAAGTAAATCAGACATATTAACGAACAAAAAGTTTGTATTTGGCGGAAATTGAACCTACGACCATTGGAATACAAAGCGATATATCATAATGGCACAGGTGATTTGCTATCAAGACCCTTAATAAAGTCCATTAGTGTTACATCTGTAAATAATTAAAATTACCATATAAGATTTAGTTGTTTTTTAATATTAAATTACAAATGGTGCAGTTTGACAGAAAAAAATGCATTAACATTTTATCTTATTTAGTAATTAAGAAGCAATCATGCTATCTATTAATCTATTTACAATTACGTATAGTAAACAGGTTTCATAGTACGTCACTTTGACTTGTAATGTGAATAATAACAATAATGTTTTATGACAGGTAATGTCAGTGTCAGACAGATGACAGTCGGTGCCAATTGTGTCTATCCACATCACTTTAAATAAAAAATATTTGTATCAAACCTATACAACCAGTTAACTGATATTAAGATTTTTCATAGTTTAAAGCTGCAGGGCCTTTTTGATACTTATCAATTTAAATATTGTGAACGAAGTTATAATACAAATAGTTATGCTACACTACAAATATTTATTTCTTCTAATGTGTTAATGCTTAAGGTTGGTTACATAGATTCATTTTTCGGATTTGTTAACATAAGAATAGTGTTAACTCGTAAAAAATTTTAAGCTCTGCAATATTTGGTACTGGACATTTGTATCAACTTTATTGCTTGTATTGTGTATCTGTGTGTGTATTCAGACCACTTCAGTGCCTGGTCAGCTGACCAAGGAAATTTTAGTTATTGTTTTTACTTCCTTCTTTCATATTTAAATAAGATACAATTTTAGTGATTATTATTTTATTGTGTACTTGTTAATTCTCAATAAGAATCGAAATGGCACAAACAAGTTCTGTTCCCGCAAAAGAGCGTTACATACCTAACGCACTTAAATTCGCTTTCGGTGGCCTTGCTGGGTAAGATATCCAATTTATTCTATGAATAAAACACTATATTATGCATCGACGTCATAACATAGACACAAATATAACATACTTGTCGTAAATTTAAATTAAGTATGAGTTTCACATATAAAATCCGTTTTATTTGACGGAGAGGGAATTGTTAGTAGCGGGGACTAGGGGCCCCATTTTTTGCAAAATACCCTATTAGGTCGACCTCCACGCCTTCCCATTGCATTTTCATCCATTTATAAAATCTACCATCATAGCGACCAAGGATCTTCCTATATTTAAATACAACTTTTGGCAGCTAAATAAAATATGATGTAATTTAAATGTTTGTATTGAAAAAATCCATGAATTTGATTTTTACTCTACTTACTGATTTCAAACAAGAATCCTCTTTATATATATATATATATATATATATATATATATATATATATATATATATATATATATATATATATATATATATATATATATATATATATATATCTCAAAGATTGATTATAAGAGATCCCTGTATGGTATAAGTTCACCATTGTTTATTAAATTGTTCCCCTATATGCTATGTACAGTATGTACTTGTACAATAAATATTTACGGCAACCTTATACAATATACCTTATAACAATAGTATGATAATAAGTTATTTACACAAACATTGCATGTCAAAGTAACCTTCAATCCCTGATTTACACATTTGTAATTAGTTTATCTTGTGATTATAATATAATGCTAATACCTTATTTAAACAACCTACAATTTGTAACATGGGTTCTTTAGGGGGAAAGGGATTGTTAGTAATGGAGACTAAGAATCCTATTGCTAGCAATATACCCAATCAGGTCGACCTCCTCGCGGTTCTCCCTGGAAACTATCATGATTAATTTCCAATGAATCATGATGGGCTAACTGGCCTGTTTTTATCCTCGTCGATAACCTTTCACTGGTGCCCCGCCAGCGTATCCCATTAGCGCAGGTGGGGTTATCATTCCATTTTCATCCAATAAAAAAAACATGGGTTCTTTTAATCAATATCATACTTTTGAACGTTTACTTTATAAACGTGAAAGTTTGTGAAAATGGGTGAATGTCTATTACTCTGTCATATAAAAATAATTAATGAATTTTAATGAAATTTGGTACATGCATAGGTTATATATTCATTGCATATTACATAAGATATTTTCTATATTGATTAATGCGGGCTAAGCTGCAGTAATAGCTAGTATGTTAATACAGTGAATGCTCTATATAAGCAACTCATTTGAACCAATTTCAATAGAAAAAATCTTATTGGGAAAAGTTGCTTATAGGGAAAAAAAAAGTATAAAAATACTTACCATCTGGACAATATTTTTACTCATTTTTTTTACTAAGCTGAGTACAATAAGTAAAATATAAAGAATGTTGCTTATAGAGAGGTTGTATAAGAAAAATCTACTAAATTGTTAGATAAAAATGCAATTACAAAACTTATTTAAGCTGTGCTTCAAAGTATTGCAGTCAAAGAAATTATAAACTTATGCATGATAATGAAATATAAAAAATGTATTTGTTACAATATACCTACTTAATCTTTAACCCTTGACAAAAATTTTCAACAAAGAACCTTTGTTTTTTTTTTTCATTTGAATTACTATGTTGACATTCTACTAAGTAATGTTATTTATTTATTTATTTATTTAATAAGATTCACTTACAACTTTTATATTTTACATGCTACTTAATTAATAACACAAAAAAAAAATTGCCGAATGTAAAAGTCTTTTACAGGCGAACACCACATGTACTATTATAATATTTAATAATTATTAATAATGACAATAACAATATCTGAATAATAAATAGATAAAGAACTTAAGTCTCAAATTTTCCTAAAATTAAAAGTTTGTATAGATGTTTGTACCTCAGTTGTGACTGAAACCACAATTTGTGACTAAGGAACAAACATCTAAACAAGTGCGCTCTTACGACACTCACAGGAAAGGAAGAGGTGGCCTGTTCTATGCGGGGATCATACGGACGCGGGTATCGGGGAAATCGCGGTTAAAAATTATTAATATATATTTTTTTCATTACAGCATGTCAGCGACATGCGTAGTCCAACCATTGGATCTCATAAAGACGAGGATGCAGCTGAGTGGCGGCGGCCGTTCCTCATTTACCGTCGCTGGCGAGATTGTAGCTCGCGAGGGCTTCTTCTCTTTGTATACTGGGCTGTCAGCTGGCCTCCTCCGACAGGCTACCTATACAACATCGCGTCTCGGAGTGTACAACTGGCTCTTTGATATGTATAAAGAGTGAGTATAGAATAATTTAATGTTTTAAAAACATTTACTCTTAGAACTAAAGACACCTGAATGAATACAGTGATTTTTTTGTGTAACTTTGAATGGCAAACAAGCTGACGGCCGCCCCGAAGAAAAGTGGTAACCGTCGCCTATAGACATGAGCAGTACTATGTGTGATGAAAAAGAAGGACAATAATTTATGATTTCTTACACAAAAAAAAAAAAAAAAAAAAACAACTATTTAAATAGAAGCAAAACCAGTTATTTTTAATTAAAAGTAAAACTAAATTTCTACGGGATCAAGCTAAATGTATTTTTTATCTGATAAAAAAAGAATTTTCCAAATCGCTTTATAAATGACGGAGTTATGAGGTAACAATCATAAAAAAAATATAATCGAATTGAAAACCTCCGTTTTTGAAGTGTGTTGACAAATCAAATTACTCCGAATGATGGTTGTAGGCCCGCTTCCTGTCGCTTTGGATTCAAATACGCTTCGAGAAATGTAGGCATCTCTAAATAAATATCTAATAAGTACTATAAAATAAAATATGATTCATTTTAATAGTCAGATCGAGCTATATTTTTTTACAAATAAATCATTTTTTTTAACCTAAGTCAAGCATTTTATGCAAATTTTCAACAGTTTGTGGTCGCCATATTTATTTTATTCTGTCCTCGTGTAGCCCGAAAACACAGTTACATCTTTGTCGCAGTTACTGTCGTCGATCTATGGTTATAATGAATCTAAACACTTTTTTATCTACCAATCCGTTTAAGCAATAAAAACATTTTGTATCAGAAAACTATATCAACATACACTACACTCGTAAAATATTACCCTACTTTTTTGACAGTTCAGCAAAAACAGACTTCAAATTTGTAAAAATTAAAAATGGATCAAGTGAGATGACGCTTTCAATTTGATAAGGAGTCATTAAAATCTGTTGTAAGACATGTTTCGTAGGTATCCTGCATTGTAATGCATATAGATTTTGCTGCGGAACAATTAATTTTTGCTTCTTTATATACATCATCATCATCATATCAGTCGTTAACCTTCCACTAATGAACATAAGCCTCCCCATAAGGGGAATTTTAATAGTAGTTGCCACGCTTGGCAGGCAGGTTGGCAACCGCAGTTAAGCTTTTAGTGATGTTTAAAGAGAGACACGGCTGCCCTCGACTGTTAAATTCCCTTTGTTGCCTCTTACTACTTGTAATTTGATAGACGGTTATGATATATTTTAACCTAACATAGAAGGGGGAATGGGATTGTTAGTAATGAGATTTAACAGCACCATTGCTAGCAATACATCCTATCACGTCGACCTACACGCGGTTCCCCCTGGAAACCATAGTGGTTAATTCTTACTTCTTTTTTTTCTTACTTTGTCACTATTGGCTAATTGACCTGCCTTCATCCTCACCTGGCACCCTTCAATGGTACCCCGCCAGCGTATACCGATAGCACAGGCGGAGTTACCATTCCATTTTCACCCATGAAAAATGAATATTTTTATAAACTAAGTTGCATGAAGAAATTAACATTTTTTTATGCATTTTAGAATAACAAATAAGCTAACCGACCTGATGGAAAATGGTAACCGTCGCTTATAGACATGAGCAGTACCATGGACATAACAGAGTATACTGTTTCGCCCATGATACCCCCCATGCGTTGCCATTCCTGAGGACTCAGGTGTTATTGCTCTGTACCCTGTAAATTCACTGCCATATCCCACACTTCAAACCGAAACACAGCCATGCAAACACAACTGCTTCATGGTAGAAACACGAATGGGATAGAAGTGCCTAACCAAAAGACTTTTGTACAAAATCTCCCACTGGTGGTGGTAACTATAATTATAATAATTATAAATAGTATAATTATAATATAATTATACTATTTATAATTATATATTATAATAACTATAAATAGTATATACTGCGTGAGAGAGAAGCCGCTGAAACAGCTAGCATTATAAAATCATTTGATATGCAGTTTGTCAGAGATATTTTTATTGACTCTCCGAACTGATAGGTATCTGTCATTCATATATTTGAAAAATTAATATAATACTTTAAATGAAGATTACCAAGAGTCAAAGTTATAGGTCAAATGTAAGAAACACTAAAACAATATCTCTTTAATCGAGACATTCAACCTCTGCACCCAACAATGCAATTATACTCGGTATAAAGTTCAAGTTGTGACATCAGATAAAAATTAATTTAGAAAAACCAAAAGTTTTTAATACTTTTTAAATCGAAATTTATTAATTCGCTTACTGGCGCTTAACTATATTAAATAGGATCTAATAAAAATTATCTTAGATATGGAAAAGGCATTTGATTGGGTTCTGAGAACTATGGTTTGATAGAATTTTGGTACCTACAATGTCCTCTAACAATATATTAACGTCATTATCGACATATGTATGAGCAGTGAGGTCAATGATAACGATGATTGTGATGGGGGAGTCGATAGTAATGATAGTTACAAAAGGTGTTCTGCAAGGCTAAATACTCAGCCCCTTTCTGTTTTGCTTGGCTATAAATTTGTAAACCATTATATAATAATTGTAGACCATTATAGGTATACGTAGACGATGTAGTCGTCTACACAGACTCGTTCTAAATTTTTTTAGTTGCTTCTTACAACGCTTATAACAACCACCTTTGTCCTATTCGTGTTTTTACCGTGAAGCAGTTGTGTTTGTATAGCTGTGTTTCGGTTTGAAGGGTGAGATATGACAGTGAATTTACAGGGTACAGAGGAGTAACACCTGAGTCCTCAGGAATGGGAATGCATGGGGAGTATCATGGGTGAAACAGTATACTCTGTTATGTCCATGATACTGCTCATGTCTATAGACAACGATTACTACTTTCCATTAGGTGGGCCCTCAGCTTGTTTGCTGTTTTACGTTGCATAAAAAAATTGTTGCAAAACTTAAAAATGTGTATATCCGTGACCTTCAACGTCAGTTAGTGTAATGTTATTTAAATGAATGCTAAATTTACCTACAGAACTAATGACATAATATCACTATACGCGTTCTACTGTATCAGTTAATTGAGATGGTCATTAAAAAAAATATAAACACGCCAAGCATAATATTAATTATTTATCAGATAGTTATTGACTCTGAGGTCTTATCACCGTTTATTTATATACCAGTTGACTCAGTGATCTTTTTAATCACAATAATAGTGATTTATGTTTTCATTTTTAAATGGAATAGTAATGCGTCTGCGCTTCGATATGCGCTAGATCATTATAAGTATTTTTTTAATACCACTGAGGTGGCAAACAAGCATACGGCCCACGTGATGGTAAGCGGTTACCATAGCCTATGAACGCCTGCAATACCAGAGGTATTACGCGCGCGTTACCGACCCTGAAGAAACCACTTTATCCCCCTTTTGAAGAATCCCATGCTGAAAGTAAATATGGATGAAAGCAAACATCCCTGATGCACTACAATAGTGGCAAACCCAACAGCACGAAGGTCGCTATAGGATTTTTGGGTATACCTAGCCCAGAGACTACACGTACAAAAGGATGTACAGTATGATCTGAATTAAGTGATTTTTACTTTCTTTGGAACAACATGCCAGCATCTTACCACTCACCGACAGTGTTTTTCGCTGCCTCTCGACATCATCATCGCCTGTTGTCAATCAAGATATTCGATGATCTTAACAACACCATATCGTCCGCATAGCTTATGTTAACATTAGCTCCATCAATATGACGGCCGACGCGCGTATTGCTGGGCAACGATCAGGTGGTCTACCATGAAATGAAATTTCGAATTTTCGAGCTCAATTTCGTGTTTTTGTTCGTACCGAAATCGACCTAGTAAATGGAGTTTAACATTTTGTTCATCATAAATCCTATCCTAATAGTCCAGGGGAACGGTATTTTAACATTTTTAATAATTTTAAACATGTTTTATGTAATTTTAACATCAAATTTCTGTTTCGTTCATCCCCGAAATTTCGGAAAATATTTCATGGTAGGCCCCCAGGTCATTGATATATAGGCTGAAGAGTAATGGTGATAGCCCTCCTTGCCTCACACCACACTTCAGCCCATATGACTACGACAGGCTTCCCGCCCATCGCACTCTGTTGACCTAATTCCTGTACTAGTATTTACATATATTTATGAATTCAATTGGCATTTTAGTATCTTCTAGTTTTTTCCATAGTATGCCATAGGACACCAGGTCAAAAGTCTGAGAAAGGTCAAGAAAACAGGCATGAACCGGCGTTTTTTTTTATACAACTTGGAATGGCAAACAAGCTGACGGCCCACCTGATGGAAGGTGGTAACCGCCGCCTATTTACATGAGCAGTACCATGGACATAACAGAGTATACTGTTTCGCCCATGATACCCCCCATGCGTTGCCATTCCTGAGGACTCAGGTGTTATTCCTCTGTACCTTGTAAATTCACGCCATATCCCACCCATCAAACTGAAACACAGCCATGCAAACATAACTGCTTTACGGTGGAAACACGAATGGGACAGAGGTACCCAAGCAAACGACGTCTGTACAAAGTCTCCCTCTAAATTCTACGATTTACATATATATATATATATATATATATATATATATATGTATACATATATTATGAAAGCTACATCACTGGCAGTAATATGAACTATATTTTATTAAAAAAAAATTGTGCAGAGTCAAGTAGAGTTGATAATATGTGATGCTGTGAGTAGCTGCCATGAACCTGTAAGCTAATAGCTAATTTATAACAGTATTGTAATTAGCGTTTATGGACTAAGCTATTGATATGTTACGGCGAATTGATAAGATATAATATCATTTGAAGCCACATTAACCTTTGTAGCGTACCTTTTATACTACAGTTATTAAAATTACCTAACATTTTTTTTTATATTTGGCATTATTTTGTAAATAATCTTAGCTTGTTATTATGTCGAATTATTTTTCACTAAAAATAAAACTAACAAAAAAGTAATGTAACTATATATATATATATATATCATGATTAATTCCAGATGAATTGATCATGATGGGCTAACTGGCCTGTTTTCATCCTCATCGATCATCCTTCACAGATTATAAATATATATATATATATATATAGTTTTTTTTTTTTTATTGGATGAAAATGAAATGGCAACCCCGCCTGCGCTAACGGGATACGCTGGCAGGGTTACCATTTCATTTTCATCCAATAAAAAAAAATATATATATATATATATATATATATATATATATATATATATATATATATATATATATATATATATATATACGAGGTTTGTCCGGAAAGTACGTATAAAAGTTTTTTAAAAATTTTATTTTACAATTGTTCAGGTAAATCAATTTTATCCCCTTCAAAGTACTCCCCCTGTGACATAATGCACTTGTGCCAACGCCGTTTCCACTGTGAGAAGACTCCTTGAAAGTCCTCTGGTTGTAGGTTTCTCAGCTGCCCCGTCGTAGCTTTTTTTATCTCATTTATGTCCCCCAAATGCCGCCCCCGAAGTACCAATTTGGTTTTTGGGAACAAGAAGAAGTCACACGGGGCCAAATCCGGCGAATAGGGGGGTGTTCGGTCACCGTAATGGAATTTTTACTCAAAAACTCACGGACAACAAGAGAGGTGTGGGCAGGGGCATTGTCGTGGTGAAGAATCCAACGCCCCTCTCGCGCCAATTCTGGACGAACTCGTGCCACACGAGCTTTGAGGCGTCTGAGCACATCGACGTAGAATTTTCCATCAACTGTCTGGCCTGGAGGGACGAATTCTTGATGGACAATCCCCCGAACATCGAAAAAAACAATCAACATTGTCTTGACATTTGAGCGGGATTTTCTTGATTTTTTTGTTCGTGGTTCCCCGGATGTCTTCCACTCTTTGCTTTGGGATTTTAATTCGACATCAATTTCACGGCCATTCTTGCCGAGTTTCGAGAGAAACTTGATTACGACGCGCTGCTCTTCAACGGAAGCGGGCTCCATGCCGACGGGGTTTCGTTAAGAGGTAACTTCACAGATGGCGTGACAAGCCAGTTCGCACCGCACGGCGGTCAGACCAGAACTGAAGCATTGTTAGGGACATAAGGAAGGGGTCCTGCGCTTACCTGGCCTCCCCACTCCTCTTTCTCGCATTCCAGAACACTTTTATACGAACTTTCCGGACAGACCTCGTATATATATATAATCTGTGTACTGACAATTATAAGCTATTAATACAAAAATAATTTTATATTATCTATTTGTTTATTGTTGCCCGATAGGGTATGACTGTTGATACTAATGTAAAGCCAATGTTTACAGCTGAATGTACACAGGAATATTTTCCACTTTGGGTGTTGCTGGAAGAGAACTCTTTTAGAGTTAAGCTCGCCTTTGTACATTTGCTTACCTCTGTCATATTTTTTTGTATTATTAGTGTGTAAAGTATAAATAAATTAATAAAATAAATTTCTATTCATAAAAATTCTTTATTAGAAATATATATATATATAAATTGTATAGATAACGTCGGTATATCTATGCCAAACAAAAACAACAAATGCCTAATTGTGGCGAAATATGTGGACTTAATATTATTTTAACACCTGTATATTTACCATGTTTCTTGCAAATAAATTTTAATTCATTCATTCCTATTCATTCATTCGACAGTTCATTTTTGTTATAATCTAATTTCTATATTAAAAGTGTATGTACAAAGCATGAAATAACTATTTTTGTTTTAGAAGCCCTCAATTTAATAAAATTTTTTAGTTCCGAGAATATCGCAATTTACAGTTTATTAATTTTTTGCCCATAATTGTATTATATAAACAATATATATATATATATATATATATATATATATATATATATATATATATAATTCTTTATTTATAATATAAATATTTATTTTTATAAAAATTGTTAATGAATTTATTTAAATAAATTAATGAAGGTAAAAAAAGACAGAAAATGTATTTAATGGCGATTATGTTGAAACACCGACTATATTGTGATTCTTCAATATTACAGCATCCTCTTCGATCGGTCGATATGCACCAAAAAGGTTATCAGTGCTGTTCTCAAGCTGTGTGTCCAACCGGTAGGCACAGTAGGCGGGTTGATATACATAAACGAGTTCAAAGTTCGATTCTCTGTCGAAACAAACTACTGAATTGACCTGGGTCTGGGTATACTGGATTTCTTTTTTGATAAGTGATAATTGTAATCTCGCCTGCATTATCGCTATGTCGGTGAGGCATCAGTGAAGAATGACAAGTGAAGACGTAAACAGGCCAGCTCATTTTAATGAATTCATCACCAATGAATTAATCATCAACCACGATAATTTCCAGGCGGGACTACATAAAGATCGTCCTGATTGATTATATTGCTAGGAATGAAGATGTTAGATCCTTATTTGGTTTACGTTACGATGGCCTAACTGACCTGCTATCATCCTTACCTATCATCCCTCACTGGTGCCCCGCTAGCGTATACCGATAGCGCAGGCGGGAATACCATTCCCTTATCACTCGTTAAAAATAATAGGTGTAATTGTATAGCGGGTAATTTTAAATGACTACACTTATGTTACTATTCCCCGGTATTTTTTTGGTTACACGATATTTTCTTCAAATCTAAGCCGACATTTAATAATTTATTTTACCACCGATTAGGTCCCAAGATGGTAACATATTAATTATATCACGTTTGAAGTAGTTTTTTTTTTTCTTTTTGTCGAACATTATATCTACATAAACCTCAAAACAAAAATATCTTAAAAGCAAGAGAAGTGCTCCTGCTTCACCCACTTTCATAACTTATTTTAGATAGATAGATAAATACTCTTTATTGTTTCCTTCAAAAGATTACAGTAGTAAACATATTACAAATATAAACAGTTATAAGAAATGTTCACACTGAGAAAACAATAGCCGGCCTTATCGCTAAAAGCGGTCTATTCCAGGTAACCTTTGGATGGAGAGGAGTAATTAATAAACAATTTGACGGGATACACGAAATTTTGTTCGTCTTTAAAGACATAGAGATATGATACCTACAGTAATGTGAATATTTAAATGTACATTTTAACTTACTAATACATAGATTCTTAAATGAATACATACCTACATTAGAGTACATATAAATATATAAATACAAGTACACATGTAGTTAAAAGAATAAAAAAACAACAATGTGAGTATGCTAATCAGACACAATTCACAAAGATGACAACTTGCAGAGATAAAAGTCCTTTTGTTTTAAAACTCGGTAAGTATTGTAAATTTTGTATAGAAATTGGCATTAGACTGTTCCATAGTCGAAACAATTTGCACAGTAAACGATTTGTCATAAAAACTTCTCATAAAATGTACTGGTGTCTTCAGCTAGACACTCCCAGACGACCTCAGATTAAGTGAATTGACGGAATAGACGCTGTCAAACCACTTCTACTTCAGACCCTCTAGACAAGTTCCAAGCGAATTCGTCGATGGAATCGACATCGCTAGCGAGTGCGTGAGTTGGAATGAATTACCCGGCGTTGCTATCTCATTCTATTTCACGGACTCGCTAGCGATATCGACTCCATCGACGAATTCGCTTGCCACTTGTCCAGAGGCTCAAGTAGCAAAGAGAAAAAGGATAAAAAAGTCAGTTGTGAAGCAGTGAAAGAATGTGAGTATTCTGGCGAAAACGAATTGGAAGCCACTTGAGTTTAGCCCGAAAGTGGGAAATGTGATTATATTTTCTAAGATCGAAAATAAACCTGATGAGAACGTTTTGAAGACGCTCAAGTTTGTTAAGCTGGTCCTCTGTAGATCCAGATAACAAGTGTCGGCAAGATCAAGAATTGGGATGAGCAAGGATTGGGATAGTGCAATTTTGGTCGCTATAGACAAAAAATTACGCATTCTTCGCAGTGAGCTAATGGATCCGAAATCTTTCCTACTGATCGTTTCAATTTGTAACCGTCAAGTTAAAGAACTGCCAATGATCATGCCTAGATCTTCCACTGATGCACTGAAAAGGATAACTACATCATTACTAGTTTACTGGCGCTCACGTTGATTGGTTTACCTTTGGGATAAATTTAAGACTACCTTCTAATCTGATTTGAGTTTTGGAAGTATTTACTTTCATTATTATTCATTTACTTTCATTATTATATATTTATTACTCCGATTACTAATACGTTTTATAAGAGGCGGTAATTAACGCTATTATTTGGGTCAATTATGATAATTTACCTGAATTATCACAACCTTTCGAGGCGAGGGATAGACAACAGCGTCCCTTTTCAAACATATCCAAAGCCTAACTGCAGTTGCCAATCAGGCTGCCAAACGTGATAACTACTGGCAAAATCTCCCAAAGAGGAGTCTTATGTTCAACAGTAGGCAGTTAAAGGCTGATATGATATGATGATCACAACTTTTCAATCAGATTACACCAGCCGAGGTCACGATATAAGGTAATAAACATAAAAGAACAAAAAAAATACAACCGAATTAAGATTCTCATTCGTTTTGAAGTCGGTTGAAAATATAACTGAATTGAGTAACTCCTATTTTAAAATCGGTTAAATACATTTATTTTCTTCCAATCATTGTTATAATAAATGTTTTCCAGACAAAACGCCGGCGCCACCCCGAGCTTTGGTACGAAAACGCTACTAGGTGTCGCCGCCGGCGGCACGGGAGCGTTCGTCGGAACGCCGGCCGAGGTAGCCCTAATCAGGATGACGGCGGACGGCAGGCTGCCAGTAGAACAGAGGAGAAACTACAAGAACGTAGTCGACGCTTTGGTCAGGTGAGCGTTTGCTAACGTCCAATAAATATGCACTGTATTAAATTAAAAAAAAAAAAAACGATTCAGTTGGCGTAAAATTGCATCTAAATGCAATGCACCTAAATGCCGATCTTGATAAAATTCCTATGTGACCAATGTATAAGTATAGGGATTATTTATTTATTTATTGTTTATTGCACAATAAAACTTTGTACAAGTGGCGAGCTTAATGCCATATGGCATTCTCTACCAGCTAACCATTAGGTGAAAACAGAAAGCGTATGAAGGGCAGATGTGGTGAAAAATATGTGACATAATTATAGCAACATACTGAAATAATTATACATAGTAATACATAAGAAATACACATATAACACATAAACACTATTTATATTAATAATTAATTAAATAGTTATACTAATATATATGAAATATATACATACATAGGATTATACGATACGATATAGAAATTTTTTTTTATACAACTTAGAATGGCAAATAAGCTGACGGCCCACCTGATGGAAAGTGGTAACCGTCGCCTATAGACATGAGCAGTACCATGGACATAACAGAGTATACTGTTTCGCCCATGATACCCCCCATGCGTTGCCATTCCTGAGGACTCAGGTGTTATTCCTCTGTACCCTGTAAATTCACGCTATATCCCACCCTTTAAACCGAAACACAGTCATGCAAACACAACTGGTTCACGGTAGAAACACGAATGGGACAGAGGTACCTAAGCAATCGAGTTTTGTACAAAGTCTCCCTCTGGTGACTTCGGTTTACAACTGACGGAGTTTTGATGTGACAATCATAAAAAAATACATTCGAATTTAAAATTTCCTTTATTTTTGAAGTCGGTTGCAATTTTAAAAGAATAAAATCACATAAATCATAAAAAAAAACTTAGACAATATCCAGTAGTGCTCGCTTGAAATCGCGGTCTATATTTATTTATTTATTCTTTATTGTACACTAAAAATTACAAACATATAATATATATATATATATATATATATATAACAAAGATGTACAACAGGCGAGCTTAACTCTGTAAGAGTTGTCTTTCAGCAAATCCTGAGTGGAAAGGAGCATTAATAAATTATATAAATAGAAAAATTATTTTCAAAGTTGTTCATACCCAAATTAAAACGTCATGGTTAATCATAAACGCCATAGATATAGTTATTTATAGATGTCGTAAATTATAGTTCTGTCACATTTAAAACCCATGTAAAATTGCCATATTTATTTGCCCATCAAACCTGTGCAACAGAGTATACCAAAAATTATATATATATAATCAAAGAATAATTTAAGAGACAGTTACATTTTTTAACTGTTTTTATATTCAAATAGAAAACTTGCAGATACTATAAGATTTTTATGACGTGAATTTACTGGGTACAGAGGAATAACACCTGAGTCCTCAGGAATGGCAACCCATGGGAGGTATCATGGGCGAAACAGTATACTCTGTTATGTCCATGGTACTGCTCATGTCTATAGGCGACGGTTACCACTTTCCATCAGGTGGGCCGTCAGCTTGTTTGCCATTCTAAGTTGTATAAAAAAAAAATGAATGACTGAGTATACTTTATTTGCATTATACAATATAGGAAATAAACAAAACAATTAACAAATATAACGATACAGTTGTATAAGTACAGTAAGGCGGTCTTATTGCTGAGAGCAATCTTTTCAAGACAACCTTAGGGTAATGGACTAACTGTTGTACAAGTGGGTATGATTGTATTGTATAAGATTTTTATCAGTTAGTATCTTAACTTAAAAAACTTACAATAACTATCAAAATCAATTGAACATACGTAGCCTACGATATTATCTGAAAACTCATTCATTCTAAACTCTTAAATGTATGTGCTTATCTTCACGTATTTGTTGTAACTGACAAATCTCTCGATAACGATTATTACCGATAACGTTTGGATTATCATTTATACGTTTATTAGTATTTTTTTTTTTTTTTTGCTTACGCGGCATTTCACATAAAGCAACGAAAAATCGGAAATTTTGGGGTTTGGCTAAACAATTAAGGGTTTGATTAACATTTCGATTCCTAAATTATATAGATAAATGTCTAATCATAAAAACAGTGTTTTTAAATTGTTACTTTTTTTCTTTATTATGTACGCAATTGTTTTTAATTTCCAATGCCGTTTATTAAAAAATGTTCAGGGTCATCGTTTATTAATGAAGAAACATAAAATTGGTATTATATTATGTGTTATTCCTCTGTACCCTGTAAATTCACGCCATAACCCACCCTTCAAACCGAAACACAGCCATGCAAACACAACTGCTTTACGGTTGAAACACGAATGGAACAGAGGTACCCAAACAAACGACTTTTGTACAAAGTCTACCACACTTTCATTCATACATTGAAATTGACGCAATCCTATGAAGCTGAGGTTACTCTGTGGCACACCTTTGTCATATCATTAACATACTCTAAATAAAAATAATCACGCTAAATAAAAAAAAAAACAAAAAACTTTTTTTTTCACGTGGTAATAAAATTAATGTAGACATAATTTGAGATGTGACTTTTTTATTGTTACCAAGCAGTCACCAATGATATCATAATGTTCCGCCAAGTACACGCGTTATAGGTACATGTATAAACTTAGTTTTTTTTACCTCATAGAAATATATTAATAATATTTTTTCTCCGGGGGGAAAGGGATTGTTAGTAATGGAGACTAAAAATTCCATTGCTAGTAATATACCCAACCAGGTCGACCTCCACGTGGTTCCTCCTAGAAACTATCATGGTTAATTCCTGATGAATTCATCATGATAGGCTAACTGGCCTGTTTTCATTCTCATTGACTCACTATTCACTGGTGCCCCGCCAGCGTATACCGTTAGCGCAGGAGGGGTTACCATTCCATTTTTACCCATTAAAAAAATAAAATTTTCTCCCTCATGGTTATAGTTGCTTTAAGTTTCAGTCCAAATCATTTATACGCGAATTGTATATAAAAGTTCTATACGAATTACATAACAGAGTATAGTGTTACGCCCATGATAGCCCCTATGCGTTGCCATTCCTGACGACTCAGATGTTATTCCTCTGTACCCTGTAAATTCACGCCATATACCACCCTTCAAACCGAAAAACAGCCATACAAACACAACTGCTTTACAGTTGAAACACGAATGGGACAGACTTTGATTGTTTGTTTCTTTGTTTGTAATGGATAAACTTAATAATTTAAGACTATGTTCCACAAAAGAAAATTACTTCAATTATGGCAAAGCCATATTTTGATTTAAAAACTAAACTACTGAATCCTTTCAGGTAAAAAAAAATACAAATCAATTTATAACTGAAGGAGTCATGAGGTAACAAACATAAAAACAAATACAATTGAATTGAGAATACGTTTTGAAAGTCGGTTGTAACTAAACCGATTTTGAAAATTCTTTCATTTATACATAGCTACGTTGTCAGCTAGTAAAATGGGTTATATAGATACATTCAGATAGGGTCGTGGTCGCATTATTTTTTTTTTGTTTATTTTATTTTGATTTCATTATGTTATTATAAAAATACAGATCACATTTGTTAATGTGAATTATATTTGCAGAATAGTGAAGGAGGAGGGTACAGTGAAATTATGGCGCGGCGCGACGCCCACAGTCGGCCGAGCGATGGTCGTGAACGCGGCACAACTCGGCACGTACTCACAGGCAAGGACGAGTTTAATTTTTTTTCTATGCAATATAGAATGGCAAACAAAAAGGTTTGATGTCAGGCAGGCGGCCGGTCGTAAAACTAAAAGCCAAATCTTTTTGTAATATGGATAAAAAACATATTACGCTGACCCCAAATATTAATTAGGATAAGGGTAGGAAGATGATGATGATAGAATGGCAAACAAGCTGACGGCCCACCTGATGGAAAGTGGTAACTATCACCTATAGACATGAGCAGTACCGTGGACATAACAGAGTATACTGTTTCGTCCATGATACCCCCCATGCGTCGCCATTCCTGAGGACTCAGGTGTTATTCCTCTGTACACTGTAAATTCAATGCTATATCCCACCCTTCAAAACAAAATACAGCCATGCAAACACAATTGCTTCGTGAATGGAACAGAGGTACTCGAGCAAACGACTTTTGTACAAAGTCTCGCTCTGCTGTATTTTTTTTTTTTTTACCACTAAGTGGTAAATTCATAATGATTGGATGATTAATGTATTTTATATTAGTGTTATTCCAAAATTTTAATATTAAAATGGGTGGTGTAAAACAAAAAGACTTGTATGATAGAATGAGATACGAGAAGAGAATCGATAAACAATGAAGACTTTTTATTATCTGTATTTTTTACAGGCCAGGGAGATCTTCCTAGGTTACATATCTGAGGGCATCTTCCTCCACTTCTGCGCGTCAATGGTGTCCGGTCTCATCACGACCATCGCCTCCATGCCAGTCGATATCATCAAAACGAAGTAATTTACGAAAAAAATTATGTCCATTTGTAAAAAACAACAAAAAAAAATGGAAAAATGTATTTATTATCCAAAGTATGTTCGTATAAGCACAGAATTTATCATTGATTCCTACATTCGGCTGATCCTATCCTGTAAGAAACAGGATTCGTATTACCATACCATATCCCTTACAGGCCGAAGATTTTTTTTCTTTGTGATTAAATATATTTTCGTGTTTTGGAGCCAAGCCATCTTGCCGGCACGCACGAGACTACTGCACCACCTAACCGCTAAAACGATTTCTTATTGGCTGGTTTAGAATCTCACTATAATGTTATTTCAGCTTCGTGCGTAAAAATGAATTGCGCGCGGTTTTAGATTTTTTAAAGTTACAACTTACGCCCATATCGTTCAGGTCTGAAAGGGATATAATACTTACAGAAATTAACGTAGGCATTCTAGTAGTACCAATAATTGTTTACCTACAAATTTATAAAAAACAGTTATTTTTATTTACATCTCGCCACTAATAAATTCATAAAGATTTATGCATGCTACAGGATGTGTGACCCCTTCCTTTTCCGTGGGCGTCGTAAGAGGCGACTTAGAAAATTTAACATTCTACGGATGGGTAACAGCATCCCTCGACCATTAAGTTCACCAAAGCCTAACTACGGTTGCTCCCTCCCTCCTCCTGCCAAGCGTGAAATGAAATGAAATTAAATTTATTGCGATGAAAGTGGTAAATTTAGGTAATATTATACATTTTGTGTAACCTTAAATAAATACTGATTATATGATGATTATAGTTATGTTGATTTACACAAAAAGCAATAAGAAAAGGTAACAATGGGAGACGTAATTGCTAAATAGCAAACTATTTCTATGCAATTTTAGAATTGATTATTTCATAATTGATTATTTTTTTCAGAATTCAAAACGCCGCGAAAGGTGAGAGCCAACTATCAGTAGTGACGAACCTACTCCGCACTGAAGGCGTGTTCTCGCTATGGAAAGGATTCCTGCCCTACTACGCCCGGCTCGGACCCCACACAGTACTCACATTCATAGCACTCGAACAAATGAACGCCGCGTACTTCAAGTATACGTAAGAACAATGTATTGTAATAAAAAAATAGTTACCTAGGTATGACGTTGGTGATGAATGACAAATTTCACTTTGAGAGTGACGTTTGTCAGCGTGACAAAATTTGTTATTATTATTCTTTACGTAATATGGTAACATGTTTAGTACAAATATTTATTATATAAATAATTTCGACGAAAAATGTCAAAGTTGTTGCCTTATCTTTTTTATCGAAATAGTAATTTAAAATGAGATAAAAGTTATTTTCTATTGTGATGTATATACATAATCGGTTACACAAAAAGTTGTATATGCTAGCAATTCGATTATTTTATAACACATAACAAAATATAAATTCCCATAGAATTAATAATAGTAAAATTTAAGAGGATTCTTTTATCTGTACGTCGATTTTGTCACTCTCATTTATTCTGTAGAAATTTATATTTGTCGTGATGATATTGATAGAATTGTCACGCTGACAAATATCACTCATGCTAGCTCTTATATCTTATATAATTTATTTGTTAAAAAAAAAGAACATCCCTATATGACTTTGGGCATCATCGTGTCATAGACAGATAGATAACCTCATACCTATATAATTATTTTCTAATATTTGCTGTTAATGGTGACATTTATATATTATATAATGAATTAAGTGACACTTAATAAACATATTTTCAATTATTACCAATATATACAGAGTGAAATGAAGATCAGTAATGCTATTGATGCCTTTTAATATTCTAACAGTAAAATTAATAATTTTCAAAGATGTTTTTTTTTGTCAAAAACGACAAAATATAAGAGTTAATTTTTTTTTTTAAATTTGACTCTTATATTTTGTATTCTTATTTCTCTTATATTCTTATATAAATGACTCATAATTCTTTAGGAAAAATTATTAGTTTTACTAGTAGAACACATTTTTAGTAGGTTGCTAATTATTTCTATTTTGTTTAGTACATTTGTACGTACATTTATTTGGGTTACCACGAATTCGACGTAGTCACCATTTGGTTATATAATATTTAGTGTATTAACATATATTAAGAATAATACACACGTGTATTAATGGATTTTTTTATGAATTTGATATTAAATTAGTCATTGATAACAGTGGAACGTGATTTTTTGCTCACAATTTTTTTTGTATGAAATTATAATGGAATGATAACCCGCCGCCTGCGCATAACTCTAATAAAAAAATGGGTATAAACTGTCGTGGCACTGGCGGGCTACCAGTGAGAAGTGATACGTGAGACCCAAATAAAAAAAAAATTTGACGTCAGAATAAAAGCAACTGGCCCAACGTAATGAATTTACTAGGCATTAACTACGATGGTTTGTAGAGGGGACCTCATGGTAGTCGACCTGACAGGGTATATTGCTAGAAATAGGGCCACTGTATTATTAGTAATGCTGATAATCCCCTCCCCTTAATAAAAGGTTAGTTTATGGTGATATCTGTGTCATAAACTTTAATATCTAATTCGGAAATTATTAAATTTTATTGCCCTAATTGATAGACAGGAATTTAATAAATTTAATATTTTTTTTTAAATTTATGTTTATTTTTTATTCGATGTCTATATACATATGTAACGGGAAATTTATGAACTCACTGTGTTTTTGTCTTTTCCAACAATTGTTTCGACGTCATCCGGAAGTCTTCTTAAGGGGATGTACGGCGTTTTGCATCACAGCGTCTCGTCTCGCACGAAATGAACATGAGTTTTTAAAAAGATATTAATTTTAAGATGTTAGTATTGGAATAAGGATTTTACTGAAAGACAGTGATTTCATTAATTTCCCGTGACTAATGTATAAAGACATCGAATTTAATATTTTACCGATTTACGATATTGGTCCGGTAAAATCCGGTAAAAAAAGACTTTCGAATAAAGTCGTAAACTTTATTCGATAGTCCTTTTTTATAATTTCATAAAGGAAATATTGGATTGATAAGGCTTTTGTTTTTGTTTCTGTACACAAAAAGGCTGCAATGTTATCGGAAAATGTCTTGGGAATATGTTTTTCAGTTATTTTCTGAATGTGTAACTTTAAAGAATCATTAAGAAAAACTTTATCGAGTAATTTATGGAAGGTATAATTGATTTATTTAGATTAAATTATATTGTACTGTCTTTTATATAATTTTACAAAGCTGTTATAAAATTTATTTATTTTATATATACTTAATAAAGTGTACACACTGAAAATACATAAAAATATGACAGAAATAAAGTAAATGTACAAAGGCTTAACTCTAAAATAGTACTCTTCCAGCAAACCCAAAGTGGTAAGGGGCATCAATGTCATAATTTTGTATTATTACACAATTTTATAAAATTCTGCAGAATTCGTAACCCGTCGTAACCCAATATATACTTATAATATATATTTGCTTGTGATACATATATTTTTAAAGTGTCACCAAGTCACTAGATATTATAAATTATAATAACGCACAGTATGGCTGAAAAAAAAACTACAAATACAGAGCTAAACGCTTCTTTACATATAATATTATTAGTAACATTTATTAAACATGACATATAATTGTAGTTTACTATTAGATTAAGCGTTTAAAAGAAAGATAATTGAAAACAAACATGAGAGATAATTATAAAAAAAAAAATATAGCATACCATAGTGTCGGAAGCATTTTTTTTTTAATTATTAAATACAATGTGTTCAGAATGAACTGCGTACACGCATCTAATATGAATTAGTTTTTATTTCAACACATTTTTCTTACGGAAATTAATTGAGATAAGGGTAGGTAGATGATGATGATGAATTTTTTTTTCCTTTATAAAAAAATTATAGAGTGATAACCGTACAGGTGATTCTTAATTATCGAGTGCTTTTATATTTTGCTATATTTAAGTTGAAAAAAAAAAAATGTCACCCAGCCATACCTCATCATCTCATTTCTCAGCCATTATCAACTATGCCTACCCACTATTTAACCCTTTGAGTGCCAACGAGCGCCATCGCGCTCGTGAAATCAGTCGCTGTTTAGCTTGCTGTAAAAAAAAATATTAAAATTGGATAATTTTTGGAGGAGATACAGTTTTTTTAGAGACGAGGGAAAATGACATCAACACGACAAAGATTTCTTTGGCATTTTTAAGTAGATATGAGTAAAAATCAATGGCACTAAAAGGGTTAACGAGAAAGAAAATAGGTGGAAAAAATATGAAATAACCATGAAATTTATTTAACTAAATTTAATTAATGAATATTATTGTTATATTTTTTCTTTTACTTTCAGATATATTAACCTATTTTTAGAAATTATATCATTTGTTATTGATTTTCTGTATGTTTTTAAAAGTCGCAATTGTAAATGGAAAATGTAAAGCGACATAGTGCCAAAATTATTTTTTTTTTTCAAATATTAAGTCGATAAAATATAAACGAAACCTTTTTTCGTGTATTTTATGATGTTTATTTTAATCTATATATTTGCTTGAAGTAATTCCACGTAAAAAAAATTATTTATGCTTAATGTAAAAGAGTTGTTTATTTTTATATTATGTTTTTATTATCTTTTTTTGTGTCGGAAAATACACGAATGGATATCGACCACTGTAACTGTATAAAATATACAATTTTTCATGAATTTACTATGTTACATACTTAGATTAGGACCACAGAACAGAAAAAAGGGTAACCTACAATTCTATCTCTCTTACGCATAAAAGCAGGCATCGTTCTATTAACCTATTTTACCTATTAAATTAGCTTTTTCTTTTACACAAAATTCTCATTTTTCCAAATTAATCAAAGAGGTTTGTAGAACGTTTTAGATTTTATAAATACGAAGGTATGTCTTTAGCGCGAATTTTAACCGACTTATTACGTAGTTTTTTTTTTAATGTTTTTTTTTTCAACGCAAGTGCATACTACAACTACGACACATACACATTCTTGTCACACACAATTTCACTGAACACATAAATTATTGTTTCTCTAAAACTATGAGCTCGCTTGTAATTTTTGTTTTTGTATCTATTATTTCTTTGTTTCACATTATTTGTTCCACTAAAAATGTAATACAACAACATATGGAAGTGTGTACTAACTCCTGAAACACAAGCTTTTTCATACCTACCTGGGGAGTTGGGGACTTCAAACTATATTGTAACATAGAGTGAAATAAGGATTTATTATTATTATACTGATTTGCATTTTCTATAAATATTAATGAATGCTTAGAAAAAAAGATGGAACCTGGTGGAAAATTTGTGATGTAAATTGAAACACGTCTAAGGAAAAAATGACTAGTAATAAAAATTTCTCTAGTCTTTTTTCTGTTCTACATAAAGGCCCTTGATTGAGTACTAATCCTTGTTAAAGATCGCAAAATCATCAATTTCTTTAGTGTTTAGTCATTAGACCTTGTCCAAATAGGATTAATTTACTGCGTATCACGTCGCGGTTTTATATGCGTAGTTACGTTGCGTTCCACAGGAGCCCTCAAGGGCAACCAAGGTATTCTAATTTGGCAACCATAAAGATATAAATATATTTCAATTTATATGAAAAGTAAAGGTGTCACTGCCAAGTTAATTTTACTACTTACATGATATAACAAAAGATATTTATGTAATGTTTTCCTTAAACTCTCAAAAATGTCATCAGTAATGTAGTAAGTAAATTGTCCTCTAATGTTTACAACGATCCATTTCATGTATAAATAAACTTATGTAAGAATTCCAATATAACTGCAGGCAAATAAACTGTAAGTCTATTTTAGTGTTCAAAATTACCAGACAAACTACAGAGTTTTTTTTTTATATTGGAAGTGAATTCACCACTTTAAATAAAGAACTAATATTTAACAGGCGTTAATTTCAAAATGTAGCCGATAGTTATGCTCGAATTGTATGCAGTAGGTTCTAGTCTAGACGGGTAAATGCCCGTAGCGGCAAAATTAAGGTTTGCTGACCGTAAGGACACCCAACTTTAAAAGGGCGGCAAATATTTTGCCCGGAACGGCAAAATTGCTATCGAAGGTATGCAACGATGTCTGCCGATGCTTAACAAGGTCTTTAAGATCAAGTAGCTTTGTCCATTATAATACTTTATTTTTGCCCGTTACGGCAAAATTTGTATCTAGCGCTGGGGTGCAATGACGTTTGTTGATACTTAACAAGGACGCTTTCTTAAGACCAAGTAACTAAGTCTATTATAATACATACAGTATTTATCCTTTGGCATTTCTTGACTTTTTTTAACAGTGTGTGTATGTAACGCGATATCTACGCCAAATGTGGACCGAATTTATGTCGATTCGAATGATGTTTTTTGTTCTAATGGATTGTCAAATTGAAATAGGTTGTGTTGTGCAACAAAATTATGTTATTTTTTTTTTTGCTTTTACGAGAATTTTGTATGAAATATATAATTTACTTATAATTTATAATTTTATAAATAATTTGTGTAGATGTAATGTATACTGGCTGAAATTAAATTTTTTAGTATCCTTTTAAGAGTGTTAGTGTTATAAAGTGATTAAAATGTGAGAATTTTATTAAAAAAATTATAAATATTGTCAAAAAACAGTTAAACCCCCTGTAATGGTGTAATAGAGTCACGGTTGTAGTACTTCCATAATTATGATTTCATGTCATATAGTCATTTCACTATTCAAGGACTTCAGAGGGAGACTTTGTATAAAAATCGTTTACTTTGGTACCTTTGTCTTAGTTGTGTTTGCATGAGTAGGATATGACAGCGAAATTACAGGGTACAGAGTCACAACACCTCAGTCCTCAAGAATGGCAACACATGATTATCATGGGCACTAAAGTATACTCTGTCATGTCCATGGTACTGCCCATGTCTATAGGCGACGGTTACCACTTTCCATCAGGTGGGCCGTCAACTTGTTTGCCATTCTAAGTTGCATAAAAAATATACATAGAGTGAATAAAATACAGCATTTAAAAGCGGTTTTTGTTCCTAGTTGGTTACCGTTAATTTGAATGTTATTTCTGGACTGTTAAAGATCGATAGCATGGCCCTTTAACATGACACTGACCTTGACCTTGACTTACTTTCAAGATGATATGATTAAGTCTGTTTTTTTTTTAATTTTAATCCGTGGTCTTTGTGTTCGATCTTTACCCAATTCGGCAAGTGTGATTGTCTTTTTATATACATACGCATGTATACAATGTGATACCATCAAGTTAAAATATATATATTTTTATAGGGACAATTTATAAAGCTTATAACTAACGTAAGATGCTGTTGTAGATATGTTATTAAAGTTTTTGTTTCAATAATATAGCAGTTTTAATTTATATTCGGTACTAGCGACTCGACCCGGATTCGCACGGGTGCAGTGCAATCAGTCTTTGCATTTTAAATCTGTAATATCTTCGGAAATATTCATTTAAATTACACGCTGTAAAATGTCATATAGATCTATATTAAATGTACAATGTATTTAAGGTACTCAATTGGATAAGTATTAATGCTGTATTGCTTAAAATCGCATCGTAAATAAGTCATTATTTCTCGTAAAAAGTTTTTTTTTTGGGTGGAAATGGAATGGTAACTCCGCCTGCGTTGACGGTATACGCTGGCGGGGCACCAGTGAGGGATGATAGATAACGATGAAAGCAGATCAGTTAGCTCGTCGTAACGAATTTAAGTATTAACTAATATGGTATCCAAGGGAAGCCGCGTAGAGGTCGACCTGATAGGGTTATTGCTAGCAATGAGGTTGTTACATACTTTGACAATCCATTTCCCCACTAACTAGTGTTTTTACAGTTAGCTAAAAAATTTTAATAAAAGTAACTGTTGACGGGAAGGGTCATTGACAAATTAGGTTTAATTTGTTTACCGAAAAATCAGATTTTTTTTCATAACGCAATCTAGAGGTGGCTTGATTTATTGAGTTTCCTATATCTTAAATCCACGGGTATAAAATAACGGGCAGAAAGCTAGTTCAATAAAAATCTTAATGTATTTCTAGTAATTTCAAACGTCAGGCAAATAGTAGTTGATACAAAATAGATAATGATATAAAATAGCGATGAAGGCTTCGGTGGGCTTGTATTGGATTAAATACATTAGTCAGACATCATAAAATAATCTATAGCTACCTACTATAGTGTGTACATAGCCCAGCTAATACCGCACTTGTCGGTCTTCAATTAGTGTGTATTGACACACATTTGTAGAACATGGAAAAATTGCAGCATAACCAACACGTCATTTATCACTGAATTTATATTTGTATTAAAAAGAAATATATAAAATCATTTTTAGCAACAGATTTTACTATAAACCCATTAATTTAAAAATAACACTTAATAAGTTTACACTTAGTGTGAAATTTGAGTGCGATTGAGTATCAAAGTTAATGAAAAACAATTTTCTTAAATTCAAATTGTTTTTGATAAAAAACTCAGTGAAAATGTTCAATCTTTATCAACACATGAAAGCGAAGGATGAAGGCAAAGAGCAGAAGGAACCAGAGACAACTGGCCATGATAGGTTCTACCAGGAACGTCCAAGGACCAGTTACAGGAAGAAGAAACGTCGCGGTGCCTGCAGGAGGGCTCAGTCGGCTGCTGAGCTGAACCCCGACTCGATAGCAGCTGCGAATAGGAGAAATGCCTTCAGAATACGATCAGTGTCTACCGACAGAGATGAAAGTGAAGGTATATAAATATTGTAATTATTTATTTAGGCTTTACTCATGTTTTAAATTCGGGGATGTCCGCCAAGTTTCGGACTCGGTAGGAGTGCGTCATTAGCGCGGTTCACGGCTGTACCGCGAGCAGCAGCATTCCCATTTTTAAAACGTGAGTAACGCCTGTATATTTAAATTAAATACAGTATGTTTATTTATTGTTATTTATTATTACTTTTTTAAAAGGACATTAATTATTTGAATTTCAAACTGTATCTAATATTGTCTGACTTATCTTCTATTTCTCTTCTTATCTCCTTTATTTTTTCTTTAAAGTTTTTATTTCACTTTTTGTCTATTTTCTTCTATGTTATTTTCATAGCGTACGATGGCCTTTATTGCATTTGACTATTGTTGTATTCTTCTAGTCAGTGCCCGATCTAGATGGACGCTAATCGGGTAATTGCCCAAATTGGCAAAAATGAGTTTGCGGCGATTGATTATAAAAAAAGCAGCAAATATACATGTTTGCCCGTAGCGGCAAAATGTTCACCGCAAGTTACTCAAAAAGGGCGGTAAACATTATTTTTTTGCCTGAAAGGGCGAAATAGCCAGAACAGGCACTGTTTCTAGTTACGAGTACATTGGTGCTAATTCGTCGCCTTTTGTTTTGTTGCCAACGGAAGATACTGGGAGACAGGATGACGCTGAAGGATCATCGTGCGCTTGTAGCTCAAGTATTTTCTATTTTTTTTTTTATATAGTTATATATATCTTTTTAATGGTGTGGCTAATAATGAATAAAGAGGCACTATTTTTTTTTAAATATATGTTTCACTAAAGAGCAAATTGCTAGTAGATACTTAAATTCTTAATACAAATTATTCATATACAGGGTAACAAAACTATCTAATCAAATATACTTAAAACATACAGTTATCAAACTAGAATAGATTTAAACATTTATTACCAAGTAGTTATTCGATTATCGCCACTCCTACCCCCCAGTGAGGAAACGTTGGTAGTAAACAAGTGGAACCGGCTCTATATTTACACTGTGATACTCTGGTTTACAATTTTTTTGTTAATAAAATTATAACTTTATGATTATAAAAACAAATGTAACCTTTTTTTTAGACCACTGAGGTAGCAAATAAGCATACGGCCCACGTGATGGTAAGCGGTTACCGTAGCCTATGAACGCCTGCAATACCAGAGGTATTACGCGCGCGTTGCCGGCCCTGAAGAAACCTCTCTACCCCCCTTTTGAAGAACCTAAATTTGCCGCTCCTAAATTCTGATGCCTTAGTCTCTAGCTTACTCAGCCTGTTAATAAATGTGCCCCTGTTGATGATAATGATACTGAGTGATAAGAAACAAATCAACTAAATCCTGGCACACAGCTCACCCAAAATATATGAGAAAGGTCCTATTTCTAAATTAATCCTACTGAGTATCGAACCTAGGGCATTCATTTTTAAAATCAACAAGCCACAGAAGTTATTGATGAAACTAGAAATGTACCAAAACGACTGTATCTAGAGAATACGATCCCGACTGGTTTTTTTAATCCCGGGATTTCGGGATTACTGACAGATAATACCGGGATCCCGGGATCAATTTAGGAATGCAGTGGCAATAAAAAGTCAGTAAATTATCTTCAATTATTCTATTTTTATTTTGGTAATAGGTAATAGTTTCATTTTAATAGCCTTAAAACAAAATTATGCTTCTAATTTCCTTGAAGACTAATATTTGTACTTTACAAATTGTAATACATACTTACTAAAAATTAAACTTTGAGAAAATCAACTTTATTAGACTCACTTAGAGAAACCTAGAAAAATAATTAACAATACGTATTTTGTTTTAATCTATATAAATCGGTAATCACGTTTTATATTTAAAATAGACTAATTATGTATTGCGAAAATAAAATTTTAAAAATAATAAAGCGTCCAATGTTTCATCTCCAAGCCTGCTTCTGAGTTTGTTGGACATATATGCAGAAGCTGAGAAGCGCGTTCAGGCTCAATTGAAGTTAGAGGAATTGTCAATAAAGGCTTGTTCCAGATTGAAGCCTCAAGTGAAACTTGCCTTGAGTTTGAGTTGCATTTCCTTCTTAATAATTTTAGAAATGCCGTTACCCTGTTTTTTGACTAAGTAATGACTCCATACAGACAAAACATCTCCATCTTTTTTGCATCTAATATAAAAACTTTCTTTAGATAGCGACATTTTAGTAGCCTAAAACAGAAAGAAAAAATATGACCCCCAATAACAAAGAGGATTCAAGAAAAGAAATAAGATTAGGCTGTATAGATTTTAGTCCCCTACCTTACGCCTTTCACTATGAAATAAATTTAATAAGAATAACATAACATAGAAAATGAAAACTTGTTGTTTTTTATATGTTTTCATTATTCACTCATAATACAACATTGTTTCGCTAATTAACACCATAATAATATAGTTTAATAATACTTACATACACACAACGCTGTGAAGACGAACTTTTGTACACATTCAAACACAACGCCGTCGTAGAATAATTCAATCGATCAGCTGTTTATCCAAGAAGACCAATAAATACCACATAGACATTAAATGCGTCTCGTTTCATGCAAAAACACTAAATATATTAATTCGTAAACATTTCTGTTAATTCCGAAAATCCCGGGATTTGTTACATAAAATCCCGAGATTTTCGGGACCGAAATTTCGACCGGGATCCCGGGATCCCGGAATCGAATCCTCTAACTGTATCCGACACTTCTAGTATTTCATATGTTACATTTCATAATAAATTATGAATATATTTATATTCATCAAAATAAATTTAAATTCTAGAAGAGAATTCCGAGCGTACTCCTCTCGTGGCTCAGAAAATAGATTCGTTGGCCAAACTTCTCTTCAACAAATCGCTGATCGGCACTGGATCTGGCAAATCTTCGCCTTCTGAACCACCAGCTTCGCCTAGGTGAGTTATATTTGTTTTTTTTTACAAAAGAGTTCTATTTGTTTCATACTTTCAAGATGTTCTTATAATACTTTGTTAAAATTGACGTTAATTCCTTTATAAAAAAAAAAATATATTAAAATTTAAATTAATACAAAGTCATCTATAAAGCTCAAAGCATGTAGCAATGGATTGAGCATTTTTTTAATGAGTGAAAGTGAAACAGTAATCCCGCCTGCGCTATCGGTATACGCTGGCAGAGTACCAGAGAACGATGATAGTAGATGAGAATGAAAGCAGGTCAGTTGACCACTCGTGGCGAATTTAACAATAATTAACCACGATGGTTTCCAGGAAGAACCATGTGGAAGTCAGGCTGTTAGATCCCATTACTAACGATTCCCTTCTCCCCAGATCAGGAATTAGCTTAAAAACTCGAGAAGCGATGAGAAAGAAAGTGGTAACCCCATATAAGCAAAAATGTGGAACAACCCTCCATTAAAGGGGAGACGATCTGAAATGTGAATGTAGAGGACTCAGAACAGTTCCTTATTGTAGTCAGTAGGTCCTTATAGATGTCTAGTTTTATGATTGACTTCGTTCAAATAATATTTACTCTTGTTACAGAGTCGGCGATCGATCCATGGAAAGTTCTGCTGCGTTAGCTATCTGCACCGAATATTTATCACAAACATCCAGGTGAGTGCAAAGTTATTCATTATTAATGTTTTATTATTGCTGCTACTAACAGCATCGCTCCTTGATTTCAAGAGTTTCTAGCCTGACATAGGAAGATCTCTGGCATGGCTCGATAAAAATGGGTTTATGAAACTTGTAATAATGACAGTTAAATTGAAATGGTTTAAATAAATTTGAAAACTACCGAATTTATACGTTTAAAATTGTATACAGAAGCTTCTTGTGTGGCCCAAGCATTCGTGACCTGCGATGAGGTCTTTAAGATTTTTCGTAGGAACTAAACTTCTGAATACAACGATTTCCATGTTTCTGCCGTGAAGAAGTTGTATGCACTATTTTTATTATATATTTGCATGGCTGTATTTCGGTTTGAAGGCTGAAATGTGGCAATGAAATTATAGACGCATAGCAGGCTTAGTCCTCTGGAATAGCAACGCATGAAGTGTATCATGGGCGTATACTATGTTATATCCATGATACTGTTCATGTCTATTCCGCACAAAGAAGCTGTGGAAAGCAGCTAGTCAGAAGTGTAACAGGCTCATTTGCAAAAAATATTTTTATATGTTCCAGATATGATCTGATATCTCAATTGAGTGCTATCGGCTCTCGGGCAAACAAACATTGGTTTGCAATACACGATAATTCCATTAAAACTGACAGACTTCTGATTTTGGTAAGCAAATATCTTCCTCATACCTAATTAATACTACAACAGAACCTGCTAATACTACAGTTCTAATGCTGCTCGTCTAATCGTGGCTCCAGGGAATAGGATGAAGGCCATCGCCTTAGACGATGACAACCACATCTGACAAGATAAACGAATGAAATAACTACACCCAACACTCTTTACAAACATATTATCTGTACTGATTTTATCAAGCTCATAAAGTTTTTCGATACATACTTCACCTACCTAGGAACACCAAATCGAAATTTAGGCATCCAAGTATATTCTTCTAAAACTTTTTAACAAAAAATGTATTGGTGCTCTATGTCTAACCTCTGTTCATGCCTTACTCTTCAGACTCGTCATCATCATTGTCATATAGGCCTTTATCTGTCCACTGCTTAATATAGGTCTCCCATATAAACTGCCATAAGGAACGGTTCTGAGCCATCTGCATCCATAAACTTCACATTGCAGGCTACTTTATCTTATATTACACAAAAACTTTTAGATGCCCCTCACAAATAAGTGCCCCATTGAACCGACTGAAAGGTCCAGAGGGCTCATCATGGAATTATTTCGAGCCCTGCACCATCCGTACATCTGTCCAGTATTGGATTTGGAACTTTGCAATGGGCATGCTCTTGCTGTTTTGCCTTTTAACGCGCGAGGGAGTTTGAAGGATCTTATTTATAAGGTAAAACATCCTGTTTTAAGATATTTTCCCTTTTAGCCAGAAATAATAAAAAAGAAAAAATAAACTGTTCGTCACTTGAAAAGCGGGACCGATTTGTTATTTTTTAATTTTCATAATAAATGTATGTTCGTATAGTAGACAATGTATCTCAGGTCAGATAATGTATAATAAAAAGAGAAACAGCCTCCCTTAACAAATGGCGAACGAATCTATCTATAGAATCGTTATCGTTAGCGAGTCCATGAGATACAATGAGATAGTGACGTGCGCAGTCTTATTCTTGCTCATGCGAACAGGATTATATACATCTATCAGTAGATTCGTTTGGTACCCGTCTATAAGGACTAATTTTCACATAATTAAGACCAGTGGAGTCTAAAAACCAGACTCTATTTTTCCGAGAGCTCTTTAAATTAAAATAAACACTAAAAGAGATAAAAAGTTTTTATACATTTTTATTCAATAGGATGCCACTACGAGAAAGAATCTAAGACATCTAATTATTACAGAGTACATGGAACGAGGAATATTCTCGGAAATACAGCTCAGTTGGCACCGGCCTTCCAGCGTGGCAAGTGGCTAGATTTGGACGCCAGATGCTCGAGGGTCTGATGTTTCTCAAGGAGAAAGGGTTCCCGCCATTTCGACATTTGCATTCTGGAAATGTAGTAGTGCAGAATGGAGTCGCACGGTACGTTGCACGTTTGCTTGACACTGGTTTTCATCGGCAGTAATTAAAAAATTTTTGTACAACGATTTACCAATTCCAAATTTAGCTATTAGTATAGTAAAGTTAATGATATGATGGAGTGTAATGGAGAAAGTTATATAAATCAGCTACTCAACAAGAGGAAACTCATAAACCGAATGAGGATGAAGTCAGATCAGTTGGCCATCGTAACGAAACTTTGTACAAAAGTCGATAGCTTGGGTGCCTCTGTCCCATTCGTGTTTCAACCGTAAAACAGTTGTGTTTGCATGGCTGTGTTTCGGTTTGAAGGGTGGAATATGGCGTGAATTTACTGGGTACGGAGGAATAACACCTGAGTCCTGCCGCCTGTGATACCGCATGGGGGGTATCATGGGCGAAACAGTATACTCTGTTATGTCCATGGTACTGCTCATGTCTATAGGCGACGGTTACCACTTTCCATCAGGTGGGCCATCAGCCTGTTTGCCATTCTACGTTGTATAAAAAAAAAACTTGTAATTTACTAAATGAAGATCGGCTTGAAAGGGCGCTAACAAGGGAGCTGCTAGAATCCGTTTTTTAACAATTCTTTACTTGTACTAACATGGGGGAAGCTCCATGTTAGTACTTAGAAGTACTTTGTTTGCTCTAGAATATGCGGTTTGGAGAACACCCTGATCGGAGCTCTCCCTCGGTGCCCAATAGCACTAGCCGCTCCAATCGACCATGTGGAAACACTGTCGCTCGGACACGTGCTGTTCGAGATGTGCGCAGGCGCAGAGCTGGACCTCTCGTTGTTACCCGACTTGTTGCCTAATTATCCACATGTAAGCATATACTGTACATGCACATATCATAGTCGCCTCTTACGGCTACGGAAAAGGAAGGGGTGGCCCATTCTATGCCAAATTTATTAATTAAAACTAGTTAATAATAAAATTAGCCTAATTTTAGTTTTAAGTATGTATTAGTGATTTTAAATTTTATTTATTTAAACAGATAATGTTTCCAATAGCTTAGTTTTATAGACGGCTTAAAACTTTGCCATTTTTCGTTTAAAGAAAAATATTAACTTCATACGTGGATGGCTATGTGAGTATAGGAAAATGGATGTAAAAGTTGATATAGCCAGAATGGAAGTCGAATGACTGCGACTAAAGATGAATGGTGAGAGAAAATACATTACTCCGACTCCAAATAATTGGAATAAGGGCAGGAAGATGACGATTGTTCCTTCTTGATTTCCTTCAGGTCGTAGAAATAATAGAGCTGATATTCGGTGACCGCACACCGAGTCTACACGAGTTAGTGCTGTGTGAACTGTTCAGGAAGATTGACTTGCGCGAGATGAAGGGGCCCTGTCTACCGGTAAGACTACCAACTACTTGAGATTCATCTCTTTCCTCTTTTAAGCCAAATTAGAAGGTTTTGTGAACAATAAATGTTATAAAAGGTAGCCTATAGCATTCAAAATCGGATCAGTAGTACCGGAGATTACCCGGAACATCCAAACTCACAAATTTTACCTCTTTATAATCTTATATATAAAATTCTCGTGTCACGGTGTTTGTTACCAAACTCCTCCGAAACGGCTTTACTGATTTTTATGAAATTTTGTGTGCATATTGGGTAGGTCTGAGAATCGGCCAACATCTATTTTTCATACCCCTCAATGATAAGGATGACCCTCTCCAAAAATTTTTTTTTATTTTTTTAACAAAACTTTCCATTGTTATTTTATTATGATTTAGCATTGAAAAATACACACAACTTTAAATTTTCATCGTTTTACGATCAACCCCTGTTTGTTAATCGTGATTTTTATATTAGATTTCGCAATAAGTGGTAAAACAACGTTTACAGGGTCAGCTAGTATTAGTATAGATTTGAGAATATTGTCGGCTACAATTAAGTATACTATGTTAAAATCGCATACAAAATTTGTTTTTGGTAGAATTTCAGTCAACGTCTGTCACGGTCGTGCCTGTCATTGCTGGGCGAGGTGGCAAGACGGCAGCCTGGCTCGCCCAGTACTCGAACCCCGCCTCGACGTTCTGGCCCCGTTTCCCCGGCCACTCCACCAGCCAGATGGTAGGTTTTGAATAAATTAGGCAATGTTGACAATCTTTAAATTTCTTTTTATCAATATTAATCAATTAAAAATGAAACATAATAAATAATATAGTGATAAGTGAATGAAACCTATTGATAAAATAATAAGAATTATCATTTTATGGACTTCTATCTCTGAACAAAAATAACATATCTTTTGTTTTATACAGTGCATAATGTAAAATATAAAATTTCATTTTCGCGTTGCTATATTTTTTTTAGATTTTTCGCATTTTTCGGTAAGAATTTTTACTCTGACTCATCCATTAATTTTTCTTTGGTAAATTTGCCTTCTATTTTCTAGTAACACTTCACATAGATAAATAATGACAAACTATACGTGTTATTTATGCAAAATAATATGATGACCTTGAACTTTTTTATGTAATTTCAGTACACAATTGTACACCCACATTATATGTATTAGAAATTCACTAATTACACAAAACCGTCATAAATTTACATACTTTAACAAATAAAATTATTTATTATATCGGAGGCAGCTGACAAAGACAGTTATCGGCAATGTTGCCAGAATAAAAAAATATATTTTATACTACGTGTATGATTTCAACTATTTTCTTTTTTTATTAACAGGAGGCATTTTCCTATGGAACAAGACTACACAGAGGAATGGCAGTGGTGATGGGGATTTGTCTACTTAAAATGATTTTTGATTCTTCAATTGGCATTAAATTAAATAGTTATACAAGAGTTTTATTTAATTACCTCACCTCACGACAATAATGTCATACCCAAGCTAAGCTAAGCATAAAGTTAATAGCTTTCTGTTTTTTTTTTAACTAACATAATGTTAGACTTCTTGGGAGTAACGATAGAGGTAATATTTTTTTTAAGTTAGTAATTATCCTATAAATACAAACTGTAAAATAGAAACCACATCATATGTGTGGTCCTGGCATGGAATTCGCCACCACTTCTTTTCCCATGGGTGTCTTAAGAGGAGACTAAGGAAATTTAACGGCCGAGGGATAGGCAACAGAATCCCTTTAAAAACATTTAAAACATCTCTATATTGGACAGTTAATGGCAGTATAACAAACATGATAATTTTTTCTTAGATATGCACAGCATTTACTTTAACATAATTATACAGTGTAAGAAATTTAAGTATTTCAGTTAGTATATGTTCACACTCTATTTCTAACTTACAAAAATAAACATGTAATATAACTGTAGCAAAATAGCAAACAAGACTGAAGGAGTTAATGTTCATAAGATTGTTGTACATCTCTATATTGGACAGTTAATAGCAGATATGGTAACCTGACGGCCCACCTGATAGAAAGTGGTAACCGTCGCCTATAGAGCAGTACCATGGACATAACAGAGTATACTGTTTCGCCCATGATACCCCCCATGCGTTGCTATTCCTGAGGACTCAGGTGTTATTCCTCTGTACCCTGTAAATTCACTGCCATAAATTACCTTTCAAACCGAAATACAGCTGTGCAACAGAACTACTTCAAGGTAGAAGCACGAGCACAGAGGTGCCCAAGCAAACGATTTTTGTACAAAGTCTCCCTCTGGTAAAAGAAATAAAAATTATAATGATATAGTTAAAAAATCATTAACGATGACACCTTAATAATTATAGACTACCTGAAATTTACTATTGTTACAAGAATGATAAATTCTAAAAATTCCCACTTAAACACTGGCAAATATATGTTTTAATGACAAAGTCAAACGAAGAAGTAGTTTTATAGTGATGTCAAAATGGCAGATAACAGACCAGCACCCAAGACAATACCAGGATGGATAAACTTCGTAATTGGAGGTCTCAGCGGGTACGAGCCAGTTTATTGACCAATCATATTAGTATATACTACTTTACGAGAACTAACTTAGAAACGGACTGTCTATTAACCAATACTACCAATTTTATTGTGTTCTCCACACTTAATTCTCCTTTAGACATTATTTTTTTGTTGATAGAGCAATCAGAAGCTCTACTCTTGAGTCTAACATCGATATCAATTCAATCTATAGCCAATGACAATTTTGTATTGCTCGCGTGAAACAAAATTAGGAATTACGTTAGACTTGGTTTGCAATGGGCCCGAAGAACCGATAACCATTGGGGAAGAAAGGTTCTTGAGTGGCGAGCGGACGTACGAGCAAACGCAGTGTAAGACGACCTCTTACTAGATGGAGTGACGAACTAAAATGCATTGCAGAGAGTCAGTGGATGCAGGTGGCTCAGGACCGTTTTTTTTATGGCAGTCTCTGGGGGGACTTATGTCCAGGGGTTGACGAATAATGGGTGAAATGATGATGATGGTTTGCATTAATAAGTTACACTAATATACATTTATCAGAACAATATGGAGTCTTTATGTCGCTAGTGTTACAGTTTAAGAGTGCGAGACGTCTCAATTCCAATAGATCGATATTGGAATTTATTTCAAGATTAACCACATTGGTATACGGTCTGCCTGATGCAAAAAAAAGTAAAAACAGTTTACATGGATGGATGAATAAATATTTATTATTTGTTCACGCAATAACTGCTGAACTAATTTGAATGAAATTTAGTACACGGGTAGGTTAAATCGTAACTTAGTACAAATGATACTTTTGTAGATACTGATAGGTTGTAGATTCATGCAGGCGAAGCCACGGAATATAGAATAACTAATAGTTCAATTTTTAATAATAGCACGAAAATGACGTTTAAAACAGGATGATGGCAACTTGTATAGTTCAACCGGCTGATTTGTTAAAAACCCGGATGCAACTGCTAGGCCCAGAAGCGAAGGGCCAGTCCGCAATATCGGTAGCTAAGGGGATTCTAAGAAAGGAAGGTCCCATGGGATTCTACGTAGGACTTTCAGCAGGATTGTTCCGACAAGCCACTTATACAACTGGACGGTTGGGCAGCTTCAATACGATATTGGATTGGTATAAAGCGTAAGTGAATAAATTTAAAATTTTCAACTACTAGAGACAAATTGTCAGAATTTTAATCTTTATGACGGTTTAGCGGTCCTATTTAGTTAAATGAACCTAAATAGTCACGTACAGTGCGGTTTCAAAGCAATTTTCCCTTATGAACGCTCAGACTGTGGAATGAGCTCTCTGCAGAGGTTTTTTCTAAAGACTACAGTGTGGGTTCTTCAAAGAGGATAGGTTCAGATTTCTTCAAGCTCGGTAATGCACCCGTGACACCCTTAGTGTTGCAGGCATCCATAAGCTACAAAGAGCGTTTACCATCAGACGAGCTGAATACTTATTTGCAATTTTTTTGGTATAAAAAAACTATCAGATGCTTCATCATCATCATATCAGCCTTTATCCATCCACATCCACTGCTGAACATAGGTCTCCCCTATAGACTGCTCTATAGAATGGTCCCAAGCCATTTGCATCCACTGACTCTGATTCTTACGATACGTTTTTTTTCAACCCTGTATAAATGTGTTTCCAAACTACGCCATTTATTTTCATGAAGAATTTTCAAAATTTATTATTTCAAAAAAAAAAATGCATACAACATCTTTAACATTATATACTGTTTAGGGATATAGTTTCAAATATATACACAGTTAATAAGCTATACGTTTTTATGCCGGCAACAGACTGACAAATCCCGGTTGAGAGGTAGGTACACATTTACAATTGTCACACATTAATGATGTACCCACAAACATCACACATTAGTTACCGTATAATTATCCATCTCCTCCCTTAGGCACATCCTTCGACCATTAATTACATGTCATAAACTCGCACAGTATGTTTTTAGTGAATACGGCGTACCAAGTTTCAGTATGAAGATATTGATGGGCATGACGGCGGGAGGTATAGGCGCCTTCATCGGCACACCGGCTGAAGTATCTCTAATACGAATGACGGCCGACGGCCGGCTGCCTCCCGAGAAGAGGAGGAACTACAAGAACGTGTTCAACGCCCTCAATAGGTTTGATATATTTTCAAAAATGAAACTTAAATGAAAGATCTAAATAAGAGTCCAGAAAAACAGACACAAGAAGATAATTCTATTTTTTTATATATGAACGAATAAAATGGAATATTTAAAGTTGGTGTACATGTAGGTGCTAGATTTCCACCCAAGTTCTATTCAGCAGTATTGGAATTGAATAAAATTAAATTGGGTGCGTGGTCTCGGCGTAGAATAGGCCACCCCTTCCTTTCCCGTGGGTGTCGTAAAAGCCGACTAAGGGAGGACGAGGGATGGACAGCAGCATCCCTTTAACATCTCTAAAGCCTGACTGCAGTTGCCAATCCGCCTGCCTAGCGTGGCAACTACTGGCAAGACTGTCCAAGAGGGAGGCTCATGTTCACCATTGAACAGTTAAAGGGTAATATGATGATGATGAAAATTAATATGTCGATGATGTTTCAATCGAACCGTTTTGAATTGGCACCGTTCAATAATAAAATGTGCCTATTCTCTTTTTTTTTTACTGGGTGATAATGGCATGGTACCTACGTCTGCGCTATCATACACTGGCGAGGCATTAGTGAGAAGTGACAGATGAGGATGAAAGCTGGTCGGTTAGCCCGTCCTGACTACGGCCAACTAGAATAAACCACGATGGTTTCTAGGGGGAACTACGTGGAGGTCTACTTGACTTGGTATATTGCTAGTAATGGGATTATTTGACCCCATTACTAACAATCCTTTTACCCCTTTTTCTATTGTTTTGGGGTATACAGAAATATAGATGACCTGTTTCGTGTCAGTACTTGTGTATTAATAGGAAAATCGTATTCAGGATTGTTCGAGAAGAAGGTGTGACAGCGTTATGGCGTGGAGCGGTGCCCACAGTCACAAGGGCCATGGTGGTAAATGCAGCCCAGCTAGGCACCTACAGTCAGGTATCGCAACAATGCATAATATAATAATAACTTTTACCTGACACAATTCTTTAGATAACGATGTTTAGCTATACAACTCCAAAACTTACAAAATATATTTTTTTATAATATTATCATAATTTCAATCATGTTCGGATTGATACCTGCTGCTGATTTTCACCACCTTACAACGCGCCATTAACAAAAGTTTCATCTCAAACATGTGGCTGAGTGGCGGTCTTCCACTGTGCGTTTTTCAAGGCACTTTCTTCCACGCATAACCACTCTTTGGAATAAAGTTCCAACCGCAGTATTTCCGGACCGATATGACATCGTAACCTTCAAGAAAAGAGCATATTCCTTTTTAAAAGTGTTGGTGTTGTGGGTGATTATTGGCGGCGATAGTCACTTACCATCAAGTGAGCCGCATGCTCGTTTGCTCCCTGTGTCATAAAAAGGAAAGCATTCCACTGAACTTAGTCCACTGAAATTACATCTTCCCATAGACTGCCATAACGAACGATCTTCAGCGCCCTACATTTACTAAAAGGCTGCAAAATAATCGAGGTCATCACTCTGTCCAGCTGAGAAGCAATCTACACTACGCTTCGCTATGCATAGTCATCACTCGGTTGACGGTACTTCGAGGTACCTACGTACCCAATGTACTTGAGTTTTGTCGAAGTGATAGCTGTAACTCATACTCACATGAATCAGTATATAAAATGACATATATACTAAGTTTTTTTTAATGGATGTCAATGGAATGGTAACCCCGCCTGCGCTATCATTATACACTGGTGGGGCACCAGTGAGGGATGATAGATGAGCATGAAAGCAGGTCAGTTAGCCCATCGTAACGAATGCAACAAGTATTAATCATGATGGTTTCCAGGGGGAACCGCGTGGAGGTCGACCTGACAGGGCTTGCTAGTAATGGGGCCATTAGCCCTATTACTAACAATCCCTTCCCCCACCGTATGCTAAGTTAGAATATAATCTATCCGTGTACCAAATTTAATTTACCAGAGGAAGACTTTGTACAAAAGTCGATTGCTTGGGTACCTCTGTCCCATTCGTGTTTCAACCGTGAAGCAGTTGTGTTTGCATGGCTGTGTTTCGGTTTGAAGGGTGGGATATGGCGTGAATTTACTGGGTACAGAGGAATGACACCTGAGTCCTCAGGAATGGCAACGCATGGGGGGTATCGTGGGCGAAACAGTATACTCTGTTATGTCCATGGTACTGCCCATGTCTATAGGCGACGGTTACCACTTTCCATCAGGTGGGCTGTCAGCTTGTTTGCCATTCTAAGTTGTATAAAAAAAAATTCAATTCGTTTAGTAATTATTGCTGGCGTGCATATATTTATTAATAAAGCCTTTACGCTCACTGTCCGTCACAAAACCCGTTACTATCAGCGTGGTTTGTGTTTTACTGAGTTGTTTTCTAACCGCATTCACAAGAATACTGAATTACCCGATGGTTAATTCACACCCAGGCGCGGGAGTTGCTGCTACCGACGCTGGGCGAGGGCATAGTCCTCCATTTGTGGTCTTCAATGATAGCCGGCTTCGTGACCAGTGCGGCTTCACTGCCTGTTGATATTGTGAAAACAAGGTATCTGTGGAGAAGTTTTTTAAATATATTATTTAAAAAGGCTTTATTCAATTCAATTCAATCATTTATTGCTATTACATGTTGTAACAATATAGGTCTTAAGTTATTAAAAATAAATCAACATGAACCCTGGAAGGGCACAGCAATCACATTAATAAATATTTCATAAAGTACATAACTAAATTTTTACATTATATATATGTATCGTCGATTAACATAAATAAAACATTATTACTTATTATTATTATTTTTTTAATTTTATAAAAATCTCATCTCCCCTCTTAAGGAGAGGAGATGGCAACTAACTCCCGGCAGAAGCACAGTCGGCCAGGGTTCAAAGTCCCAGGGAGAGAAACCGGCGTGCAATGCGGGCAGAATCTAAGAGCACCGCTCTCTGCATCTTTCCCGGGTGTGAGCCGCCTCGGAATCCCAACCGTCTGAGATGTTGTTCCAGACTGGTTGGGATAAGACCGTTCACCGACATAACGATTGGAATTATTATTATTATTATTTCTAAAGAAAACAATTTAAAAACACATGTGGGCCATCAGTTTGTTTGCCACTAAAAGTTACTTTAAGAATGATGTACCTACGGCATTCTAATAACGAAACCAAGTGTTAGCAGCAGCCTTTAATATGGAAAACAATATAAACTTAAATTTTACCAACTATCGTACTTTTTACTTTTACAAGACAATATAAAAATAAAAAAAAATAAATAAATAAAAAAGGATAATTTGCAACAAATGGAATATGAAATACGTAGACTATATATATATATATTTCTCGATAACTAAGCGGTCTGCAAACTTTAAGTATTTATTTTGTAATCTGTTTACTCGTACTTACAAGTAGATGCCATGAGGGAGACTGCACATAAGTCGTTTGCTTAGGTACCTCTGTCCCATTCGTGTTTCGTAACCGTAAAGCAGTTGTGTTTGCATGGCTGTGTTTCAGTTTGCAGGGTCGGATATGGCGTGAATTTACAAAATACAGAGGAATAACACCTCAGTCCTCAGAAATGGCAATGCATGGGGGGTATCATGGGCGAAACAGTATACTCTGTTATGTCCATGGTACTGCTCGTGTCTATAGGTTACCACTTTCCATCAGGTGGGCCGTCAGCTTGTTTGCCATTCTAAGTTGTATAAAATAAAATTTGCAACAAATGGAATACCTTCTCTGTAATTACACGTAAACCACATGATCTCGATGATATCTAGCCAATTTTGACAAAAATTATATTGATTTATATAACGAAAGTATAATTGTCTGCAGAGTCCAAATGGCGGCAAAAGGCTCGAGTCAAATAGGTGTCCTCTTGAATATCGTCAAGAACGAAGGGGTGATGGCGCTTTGGAGTGGCTTCTTGCCGACACTGATAAAGATTGGGCCACACACTGTCTTCACCTTCATATTCTTAGAGCAACTCAACGCCCTCTACTTAAATACTTAAAATCTACTTAAAATGGTATAATTTCATAAAGACATAGACATAGTATAAAAAAACGAAACATTCCGGCACTTTAGGTGTACTACCCATATCTTTCGTAGTCTCTAAAGCCCAAACCGCACTGAGTAATAGAGCGAAGTGTAAATATCAACTCCACGCAGGGACTTAACCGATTTTATAAGGGTGCTCATCTACAAAATTTATAGATAGATACTCAAAATAGACATATCGTCATAGTCGTAGAATACTGACGGATCTATATATGTATTATTCGTCAGATCCGTCAGTATTCTACGACTATGACGATATATAGATAGATACACAACATAGACAGATACACAAGAAGATACAACAAATACAAATTATACAACGGTACTTACTTACACTGATCAGTAATCTGAAATGCTATTAAAAAATAGCACACACACACCTGAACCACAGATAACATAATATTATCCTGAACCAAACTGATGAACGCGGCTGGCTGTAGGATTTTGAGAGAGTCTCTTGTGGAAAATATAAATAAACAACACACGCGGCAGATCTCAAGTTCTTAATTATTTATATGACGATATCTTTATGAAATCCGCTTGAAGGAACATTAAAAATATACGATAAAAAAAGCGGGAAAACAATTTCCCGGGGAAAAATATTTTAATACTAACAAATGAGGATTATATTTTTTTAAAGAATATAGATTAGTTTTTATTAGTAGCCAGTTGTATTTTGCGAAATTATTAGTGGCCAGTTATATTTCCCATACTCCAGTGGGTATCTCGACCAGAGTACATTGACAGTAGTGTCCGATGTTATAATAGATACCTGAAGTACCTATATCAGATAAGAAAATATAAATTTGAGAAAGATAAAAATATCTTAACAGATGACAGAGCCACTGAGAGCTAAGATAATCTAAAACTTGGTTTACCGAGTTTGTTTAGATTAATCTTAAACCATAGTTTCGCTTACTTTGGCGTATATTCATCAATGTGAGATAAGGTCAGCTATGTAAACTAATCTTAACAATATTTGACCACTTGGAATTCGCTTAACCCAGTTTCGAGTGTGGTTTATGCTTGACGAATATTGACCACAAATATGGTCACTACATGTATAATGTTACATTTCATAACATGTTCTCGATTCTCGGATTACGATTCTCGTTTCTTTATATATATATATATATATATATATATATATATATATATATATATATATATATATATATATATATATATATATATATATATATATAATGTATTTATATAAATGACGTGAGCAAGGGTGGACTTATCTCTGACAGAGATGTCTTCCAGTCAACCCAGTACAGTAGAAAGCATTTCGTTAGCGGGCAGCTGAAGTGCTACAACTATTAATACATAAACAAATATACAGTTAAATAAAATATTAAAATATTACATAAATACATACACAATAAATGCATATAATACCTACCTACTTATATAATAAATGTTAAAATAAATGAATATACTACTCACATTAGAAATTTAGTTTAATGATTTTAAGATTTGACAGTTCAATTAAGAATTTTCCTCATACATACTCTGTACTCACTCTTATTCCAATATGGTGTTCCCTCCTACAGTTTTCTGCTTCGATCTCTCTCCCAACCTATTGCTCTGTATTACTAGGCAAGCAGTAAATGAATGTATTAATAGATACCGTTTTAATAGAGAATACATAAAATAGAACGAAACTCTAACATCTATCGTGCTGTCCTTAATATGAGCAAACTTACGGTATTGGAAACATATCTACTGCCATACTATATCAGCCGTTAACTATCCACATTGCTGTTTTTTTTATACAACTTAAAATGGCAAACAAGCTGACGGCCCACCTGATGGAAAGTGGTAACCGTCGCCTATAGACATGAGCAGTGCCATGGACATAACAGAGTATACTGTTTCGCCCATGATATCCCTCTGTATCCTGTAAATTTGCTGCCATTAGAGATAGCAACCGCAGCTACGTTTTGCTGATGTTTTAAGAGGGACGCTGCTTATCTCTCGACCATCGAGGGAACTTATCCCTTAGTCGCCTTTTACGACACCACGGAAAATTGTCGGCCTCCTCAGTCTCTAAACAAGCTGGATATATTAACAAAATTTGACAGATGTTGACAATAAATTTTATTTAAAAGTGATAAATTTCTTATATAGAAGCCATGAAGCTTCAAACGTTTGTTTCTTAGAACAAAGTTAATACTTTTTATTGATTTATGCTTGACGAATTGTAGGCACCACAACAGCGACAGTCACCAAATGCTTTTGACTATCCCATAGGGTTTCCAGTTGAAAGCATATGTATATTATGTATTTTATTATAGATTAATTAGATAAACATTTCTATATAATATAATAAAGTATTTAAATATTTATTTTAGATATATTTTTTAAAATCTGCATTTAACATAGACTTGTATAAACGAATGTATATTTTATGTATATAATTGACAATCGAATATAAATATTAAAACTAAATGTCCTAATAAACTTGTCAATTTTTCAAATCTTAATTTTTTTTTTATACAATAGCAAACAAGCTGACGGCCCACCTGATGGAAAGTGGTAACCATCGCCTATAAACATGAGCAGAACAGAGTATATTGTTTCGCCCATGATACCCCACATGCGTTGCCATTCCTGAGGACTCGGGTGTTATTCCTCTGTACCCTGTAAATTCACGCCATATCCCACCCTTCAAACCGAAACACAGGCGTGCAAACACAACTGCTATACGGTTGAAACAGGAATGGAATATATTTTACATTTTAAATTTGTTTTTACGTGGCACATCAAAATGTTTATAATTTATTTTTTACTGTTTTGGAAAAATAAATAAAAAAAAATTAACATTTGCGTCATTTATTTATAATTTAAAACGATATCCTAATACACAGCCCAAGTAATTTAAACATGTACATTGCTTTTATTATTATTAGATACTGCACGTATCATTTCTCTGAAAATTCTTAAGACCGTTTCACACGGCGCTGTAATAACTATCATTACAGTAGACAAAAAAATAAGCAAAAAATAAACAAAATTATGTAAAAAATTTGATATAATTTTATTAGTGAAATGAGACATATTTAATTGTGATGTGTTACAGCACACGACTTTTTATTCTCTTTTTTAAGTCAATATTTGAACCTTCGAATAAAACTTAATCACTTGTAATAACAAGTTTTTTTTTTTTTTTTTTTCATAGGTATGGTGTATCTTTATTTTTACCCCGTCAAATACTGAATTTATAAAAGGTCCGTAACATTGTATTTGTATGTTAAAAAGTTTTGTCTTGAAACTGAATAATCGTGTTTTATTCTAATAATATTCTAGTCTATAACAATATAAATATTGGTTTAAAAAACAAATTAAAAAACACTACAATATAAAAGGAAGTAATGATTTAGAAGTCATATAAATTGTCACAAAAATTTTACCTATTGTCGAAATAAAACATTATACCAAATCGCGTGGCCGATGAGGCAAATCTCCTTATGAGGAGCGATTGTTACGGTTTCATTTGTCTACGTTAACATGACAAGTCCCTCCAACTTTTGAATGAACGAATGAATTTTTATTTACTAAATATTGGTGATAGATTTTACTTCAATGTGTGTGACCATGTACAGACGTGGTGCTGTGTCTGTGATTGGAAAGTTCTTCAGTATTCCGAACACAGTACGTCATAGTCGTAGAATACTGACGGATCTATATATTTAATATCTATCAGATCCGTCGGTATTCTACGACTATGACGAGTAGTATTACATTCCTTGGGAATATTTTTACTTACATAATTTTAATTGTTTGGATTTTGGAGGGGCGTGTCATGATGTCGTAAACAATCTATACATCGTACACAATACGGTTCGGCGCAGACGCCGCGGTGTGTGAAGAGGTCCTAAAGTTAACATTAAGTTAAATGTCTAAAAATGATGGACGATGATCACCCGTTCGTATCATTATCATCACTAATATTATAAACATGAAAATGTGTTTGTTTATTACCAATTGGCGCCTCAACCATTTATAAAGGTTACGTACTATTTCTGATGAAGAAGTAGGCTACCTTTTACCTCGATCAATCAACATATATGTAACATATCCTAGGGGTCTACCATGAAATGAAATTCCGAATTTTCGGACTCAATTATGTATTTCGGTTCATATTGAAATCGAACGTTTTGTTCGTCATAAATCCTACCATAAAAGTCCAAAAGAATGATTTTTTAATATTTTTCAAATTTTTGTTTCGTTCGGGCCCGAAATTTCGGAAAATATTTCATGGTAGACCCTCTGGTCAAGCGGACAAAGTCGCGGATAAAACTACTGCTACATAATTACTAAGTACTTTGAATTATTAAATATTTATCCAAAACCTAGTAGCTTATACCAATATCAAATAATAAGATGTGACCGCTACTGCCAACATTATAATAAACTTGAGCATAATATACATTGGAGCCGATTCTGAAATATAACTCACTCATATAAACTTACTACAAATTTGTAAAATTTAAATGTAAAATCACTAATTAATATTCTGTATTTATATTAATGGAGCGAACCTATATAATCTAAAAATATTTCTAATTGTAGATAGATCATTATGAAATTTTTATTAAGATTAAGACATTTCAGAATCGACCCCATTACATGGAATGGAAACCCTTTAAAAACTTATCTAGTATAGTCAATACTCACCCTATGGACACCTATTGGGTGAGGATGAAAGTAACACCATTAGGGTAAAATTTTTATATAAAAAAAAATTAAGTAAATTATGGAACCATAAACCGTAAATATCCCATGTACAAAAAGGTAGGAATATCGACAATTATACATACATATTTTATACTATACAGTGAGTACTACCGCTATAGTTATATATATATATGTCGAATTTTACACATAAAGGAAATACAAATAAGGTACAATTTGATTACATACATCGCAATTGCGCGCGAGCAAATTTTATTTTAGTGCGAATTGACCCTTATGGGGTTCGTAGACGGTCAAGTTAAATCAAAAATGAATATATTGTATTTTGCGTCTTGTATAACAGCTTCACCAAGCTTGATCAAAGTTCTTGGTGCATTTATTAAGTCTATTAATGTTTTTTTTTTTGTTATCGCAGGAAGAATGATACGACCTTTTGCAGCAAGCTCATAAAGATAAGTTTATATGCATAAACATGTGTGTGCAATAAATACATACAGAGTATTCCATTATATTTTAAAGACATAGTGGTTTGATTGCTTGAAATGTTTCTTAAACGATCAATCACGCTTGAATGATGTCAAAATCGAAGTACTTAATTCCAGCTGCTTGAACGTCTACGGACCACTTTACAACATATTTATATAGATATTAAATGGTTTTGACCTGTGGCTTGTAGATGTCGTAATGTCACTGGTAATCACTGATGTGTTTATGTCTTGGATGAATAAATTGTATCTGCTAATGTTATAATTTACAGTATAAATATACATTTAATCATATTTACATTTGTATGAAGGTACTAATGCATATTGTGACATTGACTGCTATTAGGACTTTTAACAATTTAAAACAATATTTAAAACCAAAATGATTATAATTTTAATATAATCAATAAAAAAGAATCATTCTCTTGTACAGCATTTCTAATGCATCATGCATTTACTCCATGCCGTAAAGAAATAATTGTTATTACTTGTGAAAATTTTACGTAAGATATGTAAAATTAAAAAATAAATATGTAAGCGTAACACACACTGTGATTTACGATTTTTTTTTCCTTATATTTTATATTTAAGATTATTAAGAGAATAAAATCGCAGTGTGCATTAATCCTAAAGCAAATCAAATTTCGAACACCATAAATTATTTTCGTTAAGTTCTAATTCCCATAGAGCACTAATACAGAGATCAAAATTATCAATTATTTCCAGCCAGTTTCTTCAACAATCATAGTTGATAATATGTCAATATAAATAGGTATTGTAGTTATTTAACCATAGTACTTGGTCTGATGTTTACATTTTAATGGAGGACGACAATCGTTACCCGTAAGCGACCTCCTCCACGATGGTCTCCCAAGAGTCTGTGGACTCTGTTTCCCACGAACCCTCGTCGTCATCTGGCTCCTCTTCATCATCGTAATAAGCGAGCTAGGGGCAATACCAAATGCAATATTACACTCTAGTGAAATTAATAACAAGCGAATGTCAAACATGCATACAACTATCCTCTCTCCTACTTGCTGTGCCCAACAGGGTCCAAAATTGAACCTTATGTACTAATTATATTATGGAATACAATAATAAATAAATAAATAAATAAACTATCTGACGAGTATAGCCAGAGGAAGACTGTACAAAAGTTATTTGTTCGGATACCTCTGTCCCATAGCTGTACAGAGTATATGATATAGAGGTATAACATCTTAGTCCTCAGGAATGGCAACGAATAAGGGAAATCATGGGCGACATAGTATACTCCGTTATGTCCACTGTATTGTTCATGTCTATAGGCGACCGTTATCACTTTCTTTCAGGCAAGCTGTCAACTTGATTGCCATTCTAAGTTGTATAATAAAATAACCTGTTTTCCATTTTCCATACTTGGCACAAATGACTAAATAATATTAAGAATACCTTTTATCGAAATAACAGCACAAAAAAAAGAAAATAGCTAAAATAAAAAAAGTTTTAATTTATGAATAATACATAATTAATATTGCAAATTATTACTTTTATATTTATTTTCAATTCGATGAAACGCATGCTAAGGTTATTTAGGAAAAATTTTGGCTTCATAAGCCATGCCCATCCCAGGATTGTCTAGTGGATGCGAGCAACAAGTTTATAATTTCAGACATATACAGACATACCTTAGAGTACATGGGCTTTTTATAAGGGGCCAAGCTCCCTATAAAAATAATCCGAGTGAAGATAAGTATTCTAAGATAAGTGTTATTGTTAAGTATATGTATGTGTATGTATGTATGTGTGTGAGTGTGTGTGTATGCATACGCACATAATTACAAGTGTGTGTGTGTGTGTGTGTGTGTGTATGTATATACTACTATATATATTTTATGTTCATCAATATCATATATAATATCAATAATCATCTGCTCTCGATTATTTAGTTTAGTTTATTGTGGAAACTTTACTGATTTATGTTATGGTTATGTATACTTTTTTATATGTTTTAGATATTGTATGTTTCCCTTTCAAAGTAAAATAAAAAATAAAAAAAATTCTCAAATTAAAAAAGGCATAGGATAATCACCTCGCTCTCGTGCAGCCTGCGGACGGTGCGCACGTGTATCTGGAACATCCAGGCGCGGCCCAGTATGGCCACGGTGCCGCTCAGCAGCAGCGGCATACTGAAGCGACACTTCCACGCGAGGCCCATGAGGAATATGAACAGACTCTTGCGACCTGCCGCCATTCTCTCATTATACCTTAAAAGGAATAAATGACAGACTGATAATAATGACAGAGAATCAAAATTGTCAGTGTGAAGCTTTGTACAAATAATCTGCGTAAGTACTTTAATTTCATTTATGTTTTAAGGCCCGATATAAATAAAAATCAAATCAAACATTTCACATCTGGCAACCCTATCAATATTCATTTTTAAGGCTAAATTGAGCCCTCTGTCTTTCTGGCGCGAAGAATCTGTGGTCGCTTTTCTGTTTCTATTTGAAAGGTTTCTTGATACTTTGAAATTCCTGGATTTTCAGTCTAAAGTGTATCATAAGTTTCATGGAGTTTTCTATGTCTTTCTTATGTACCTATAAGCGATGGTTACCACTTTCCATTAGATGTGCCGTCAACTTGTTTGCCATTTTAAGTTGCATAAAAGAAAACATAAATGCGACATTGAGCGTGATTCTTCTGGTATTTCAAGCGTTGCATTAACCATTTGGCCAGCATACGGCATAGAATACGGGAAAGGAAGAGGTGGTCTCCCCTACCTTTCCCGTAGGTGTCGTAAGAGGCAACTAAGGGAACTTAATGATTGAGAAATGGACAGCAGCGTCCCTCTGCCTACCAACTAAAAACATCACCACCGCCTACCAAGCGTAGCAATTACTAGCAAAACCCCCCTCCCTTATGAGGGAGGCATATGTTCAACAGTGGACAGTTAATGATGATAGTCATTAACCAGTTACAATCGGGCGGGCCGTATGCTTGATAGCCACCATACAAAAAAAGTTCTTTTAGATGTCTACGGAAATGGAATTTACAGAGTTCAGCCTATTCAAGCAGATCTAAGAAATCCTATATCAGTTAGTTATGTAGACTTTGTACAAAAGTCGTTTGCTTGGGTACCTCTGTCCCATTCGTGTTTCAACCGTGAAGCAGTTGTTTGCATAGCTGTGTTTTGGTTTGAAGGGTGGGATATGGCGTGAATTAACAGGGTACAGAGGAATAACACCTGAGTCCTCAGGAATAGCAACGCATGGGGGGTATCATGGGCGAAACAGTATACTCTGTTATGTCCATGGTACTGCTCATGTCTGTAGGCGACGGTTACCACTTTGTCGGTGGGCCGTCAGCTTGTTTGCCATTCTAAGTTGCATAAAAAATTTTCAATGAAATTTTATAATCGATTTTATATATGTAATTTAACAACTGACTTTGAAATATACTTGATTTTTTAAAACTCCCTGAAGTGTTCTATGTAACCATTTTATAGTGAAATATAAACCTATGTTTACCATGGACGATGGATATTTTTTTAGATGGAAATAATATGACAACACCGCCCGCGCTATCGATATATACTCTGATGGCACACCAATGATGATGGATTAGAATAACGTCAGGTCAGTTAGCCCATCGTGAATTCGTATAGAATTATCCACGATGAATTCCAAAAGAGATTATGGGGAAGTCAACATGATCCTATATTGTTAGCAATGGAGCATTTTTCTTCAATGGATAATAATGGAATGACAACCCCGTCTGCGCTAACGGTATACGTTGGCGGGGCACCAGTGAGGGATGATAAGTGAGGAGGGTAGGTCAGTTAGCCCATCGTGACGAATTTTACAAGAATTAACCACGATGGTTTCCAGGGAGAACCATGTGGAGGTCGACTCCATAGGGTAATTGTAAGTAATAGGTCTGTTAGATCCCATTATTATTAATCCCTTCCCCCCGCAATGGAACGTTTAGACCCAACTACTAATAATCCCTTTTCATGTTATAATGTCGTCTGTTTTAAGTCAATGGATAACGCAGCTGAGGGACAATTTGTACGCAGCGGGCATATTCTTTCGAGTACGTGTTCTTCAAATAATGCGTTTCGCATAAAATTTAATACGCTTTATTATTATGGTAAAATTGTACGCCAAGTATTGTCCCTCGTCTGTGCAAGCTAAAAAAGGAACAAGTTCACACAAATAAGCCATGTTAATGTGCGACTTATGAATGTAACTCATATTAGTGCCAACTAAACACACTCATTAAAAGGGAATGAACATTGAAAACACATATCATTTCAAGCATTTATTAATATGAATTGCATTCATAGATATGTTAGTATACAGGTAACATGAGATAACAAAGTTTCGACATATTGATGTTACTAATAATTCAGTTGATTTCTATTGGTTAGTATTGTAAAAACATGCCACACTCCATGCTTTGTACTATGGTATGATACAGCTGACAGATCACTAAAGCTATAAAAAATACTTAGAAATTTAACAAAACATTGGATTAATATAGTATTAGTTTATAATTATTAACTTGATTAAATCTCAATACAGTTCTTTAATAATAAAATATGCACAAATGTTGTTTGTTACTCACACCATGGTAGAATGCACCGAGTATAAGAGAGGTATGTTCTGAATTTCTTCTACATCACAAGTTACATGTTATAGCATACACATTATTTAGTTATTTGGTAGATACATGATTTCCATATATTAGTGAAAATAAGATTCATAGTTATAGAAAAGATAAACCTATCTGTATCTATTAAAAAGGCATGTAATGAGAAAGTATTAAATATCTAATGTCTATGACATAGTTAATTCTATAGAAGCTATATATCTATTTAATTTGGCAATAAAGTACCTACTGTCAGTAAGAAAGCTACAAATGTTTAAAGAGCTGGAATGAGAATAGGAACTCAACTACTCATCATCAAAATAGTCAACATGTTCCCCCGGTGTGAACTTGCCTGATTGCAGAACTTTCATGCATTTTTTTGCTGTCATTTCAGGCTTTAACAGTGTACCCTGGTTTTTGAATGTAGTAAACACATCTCTTAGATTGTCATTCACAGCTTCGGCTAGCACATAGTCAATCATTGCCGTCTCCACTGGCCCCGGGGAATAATTCAGCACCCGGACATGTTTCTTTTCCTCAGCGAGCACTCTGAAATACATCTCCCTAGCTGCTTTCCCACTACAATAGAATGCCATGCCACCCATCGGCTTAATTGCACACAAAGAAGTTACATTAACAATCACAACCCTGTCTTCGACATCTTGAAAGATCTTAAGAAACTGAGTATTCAACGAGATAACTTTAAAAACATTCAGATCATAGTATTCCCTTAACTCCTCAACATCCTCCATCCGTGACGTCTCCACAGCTAAATTACCAAGAGAACCGACATTGTGGAAAATAAGATTTAATGCAAAATCCGTCACGTTCCTCCTTTGTAAAGAGTTCTCCAGGACACCTTTCATTTCCTTATTAGCCGCTCGGGACAAGTCAACAGATTCAAATAACACCTTCACATTATCTGATTCACATAAGCTCGCTGTTTTCGCCAACTCCTGTTTGTTGCGTGCCAGGAGCAACATCAAAGAATTTGGTCCGAGAAGTTTGGATACCTCAACAGCAATAGCCCTGCCGATACCCTGGGAGGCTCCTGTTAACACACAGTATGTGGATCCAGACAAATCAATGCTAGACGATGAGGCCATAGTTACTTACAAGTGATTGGGGTTTTAACAGGATTATTCTTGAAGTAGCTTCTCTTCTTCTGTATCACCAATAACAGGGTCCAAGTCACAGCCTTCTCTCATCAAACGGTCGATACAGTCGGCTCTATAAGCAGCTAAATTCTCCACAACTTTATTCTTCTTTTTGATTTGCTGCAGTTTTCTTTCTGCAATATGATAAAAATTCACTTATTTTACGAATTAAACAGTCTATAATAACAATTAAATAAGAGTTAAGATAGTCATAAGTAGTTATGTTTACAATTTTATGACAGCAGAGATTATTATTATATTAAACAACAATCCAACTAGCGCAAACCAATCCAATTACCCAAAATAGCGAGGTACTCAGCAGAATCTGACAGCTTCACAGAGTCTTGTGCAGGTTCAAAATTATCTTCAAATTTAGACACAGTTGTCGTTTTCACTTCGCCACCCCAAGGATCCATCAAAAACTGAGAAATACAACCAATGAACAATTATTAACAATATAAGAATGCAATTTACGTCATGATTTGTGTGTGTTTGAGCACCGAATCCATTTTACTATGTTAAAATACTAAAATTCACTGACACTTTTACTTAAGATTCTAAGTCTTGATATATATATATATATATATATATATATATATATATATATATATATATATATATATATATATATATATATATATATATATATATATATATATATATATATATATATATTTTTTTTTTTTTTTTTTTATTATATCCAATCTACTCACTTGATGGCTATACGCCTTAGGGGAGTTTTTAACGTTGCCTAAGTATTTTTGAGGAATGAATTTGGAATTGGAATGGCATTAGTACAAAAATAAGGTGAATTGAGTGACTGACCTTGACTGACGGATGAAGTAAAAAAAAAACAGTATACTAAATCAGATTAATGTTAACTTATATTGGATAGTAATCGAATAAAAATCGAAATTTCATTTATTCATATAATAATCGATTTAGTAAAGACAATATGACTATCCAAGCGCAGGAGATGGATAAACCTTTTATATTCACCACTTATCTGTCATATGACAGATGTCAACTCGGCTTAATTTTTAATCTAGGGACATTGGCATGCTTAAGATTATTTTCCAAGGCGGGCCAGGACCTTTAAAAAAAGTGTTTATGTATATATTATTAGATATAGCTTTGTGAAGATTCGCTCGGACTCTGAGGTAGGCACCAAATAATTTTGAGGTAGGCACGGGCCCTGGTCACTGATATTAAATGAATTTCTGACTTCATGCTCTTTTAGTAATCCTTGTTTATATCTCACAACTATTTGTATATGGTAAAAACTCACAAAATTTGGTTCAGAGGATTACAAGGAAGATCCAGTTATACGGAAAAAACCAGCTTAAGAATTGATTTTTATTAATTTATCCCATCTATCAACTTAATTGTATTTTTTATATTCATGAAAATAAGACTATTTAAATCGAAATCGTTATATTAATATTATTATTTGATTTAATTTGTTATATAAAAAAAGAATAAAAATTGGTACGATTCTAAACACCCTAATACCAAAAGAACAAGCGAGGTCAATTATCCTTTACATTATTATCTTTTAAAAAAATTTAATTTTAGCTTCCTATCAACTGCATTATTAATTACTGATTTTTACTCGATGTGAAATCGATTAGTAATTATCTACATAAACAAGTCAACAACACTAGTCAGAAAAGGAAAATACAGAAATCTTTGAAAAGAACAATAATCTATGGAATTTACTTTTTGGCTGATGGCTTTCGCCAAAGTCACAATAAATGATTAAAAAATCTATGGAATTTGTTACTTTTTGGCTGATGGCTTTCGCCAAAGTCACAATAAATGAAACAAAAAAAATCTATGGAATGGCTACCAAGGAGGTAACTAATAAAAGGTTTTATTTAAATTTCGAACTGGCTTGCAAATAGAAAGCTGTTTATTGAAAAAAAAAACGAACATTATGGCGCGTTAAAAATTATTATTGTTCGTTATTCGTCATTGAACTTAAAAAATAAAATTGTGTTTATGATCTCCGCGCATTGTTTGAGAAAAGTATTATACAAGCCTTGGCCACAAATAGACATTGATGGACTCATGTATGTGTGCCTTGGCTACGCCTCGGCCCACATTTGCACGTTCGTCCACCAATGCCTCAGTTGCTGGCCGCTGCAGTAATGTACTAATAAATAATAGATTTTTTCATCATTCACTTAGTTATGTATAGTTACGAAGAGAAAACCTATATAAAATATGATATTAGTTACGAAGAGAAAAATTATATAAATTTGTGATAGAGCAAAAGTCCTGGAAAGTCCAATTGAAGTCCAAATACACACTAGTGTATTTGGACAAAAAATATTTGACGTGTGGGTAAAATAAAAATTCGCTTCTGGCAACATTATGTATATTTATATATGGATGATAAATTCTTTTTTAACACTAATATTTAAGGATTGGAGCTTTAACCTATCCACTTACCTAGACCAAGGTAGAGTTGGTAGAGTAATAAAAAAAGCTTGTAATTGCCATATTCACTCATTATTCTTATAATAAATTTCGATCGCCGTCATCGTAACCTATTAAATATAATGAAACATGGAAAATATTTCATTTATATATGATATTAGTATAACTAATATATGGAAGATATTTATGAAAATTGTAAGTAAAAAAATTAAAACTCTTTTACCGTTTACGTTTACTGATTACTTTTATTCATATCCAAGTGTAGATTTATGTTTTCATTTTAAAATCATTAAAAATGATCGCTATTTAATATATATATATATATATATATATATATATATATATATATATATATATATATATATATATATATATATATATATATATATATATATATATATATATTTATTTATATCAATTTTCAATTAATATCAAGGTACCTATGTATATATAACAACAGAAGAAATAATTCCAAAGTCAAATTAAAAAAAAAATTATTTGGAATGGGAAATGTTTAATCTAGATACTTGCAACACTGAAAAATGGCGCGTTTTGTTTTGGTTTAAAAAAATATGTTCGAAATAGAGTAATCCAAATGTCAATTTAGCTGACTAAACGTTCACACATTTTTGATACTCGATGCTCTATCTATATAATTTAAATAACCTACCTAGTTCTATACTAGATACCTATTATTTTCGAGTCAAATGGTTAAATGCCTAACTATTTTATGTTCGCTTAGTTAGCGCAGAGTAGTAAGCCGTTCTTGGTTTTAGAAACTGTGTAGAGCACTTCAACAATCACAACATAAACATATTCACCTCTATTGTATTGTAATAAAGTCTTCAAAAATATTTACATTTTATTTACATCCAATATAGCAATACATAATAAAAGAAAATATATCATGTCATCATCAGTCATGAGCAATAAAGTTGATATTAGAATGCTGAGAAACAGCGATTAATGATAAAAGCAAGCTTCGCGCTGTGAGCGAACGGCCGCAGTAGACGCAGCTGCCCCGTCCCGCGTCCTGCGGTGCTGCCCCTGCCACCCGCGGTAACCCCGCGCGTGTCGCGGAGTCAAAAACTAAATTGTGGCAGAGGAGAACAATATTTGTTATTTAATTACATACAATATATATATATATATAGCCCACTGGGGTCGTTGGAAACTATGGGATGTCAAATACTCAGGTACAAACATACCTCTTTCGCTTCTTAAACATTGAGTAATCTTATTATACTCGTGTGATACTTTTAATATGTTTTTTTCGGCATTTCATCTATTTGGTCTACCTCTACTGCAATTCAAATTTTTTGTGCTAAATATTTTCTTTCGTAATTCTTTATTCATCCGTCTTTTCCAAATGGCTGAACTAACGTAATATCCCCTTTTCGATCTTTGTCACTACATCATCTTTCTATCTTTTCAGTCATTTTCAAACAACTAAACGTTATGTACGTGCTTCCAGTTTACAATAATCACGTTTAAATTTACTTTTATAACTTCAGAATGCCATAATATTAATGCGTAAAAAAGAAGCCAAAACTATTAATTTTAATTGTTTCAATAAATTTCTAATACACATTAACCATTTAAATAATAACAACCAAAAAGTCGTAGCTTTCACAATATGCAAAAAGAAAATAGATAAAGTGAAATATAATATAACAGTGAATAGGAAGTAAAAGATATAAGTACTTGCTTATGTATGCTACCACTCTTTTGGGTGTATTTTATTTAGTTTTTCTAAACGCATCATCTTTAAAAAATAATTGCTCTTAATAAAAGTCAATCTGTGGTTAATACATTAGGTATTTACCTCATTCGACGTTTTGATCCATACACTTATTTACTAATATACGGGTGTCAGATACTATGAATGCTGTGTGTGTTACGAACAGTGGTTTGGTTGAACAAAGTAATTGAAGCAACCATTGACGTTTATCGACTATGACATTATTATATTGGACTCTCATCATGATACAGCTGGTATAACCTAGCCAAAATATCTAGTGGGATAAGTACTTTAGATAACATTAAATAATTCGTGTTACGTATAATCCACTAAACTTTATTCATAAAGTGTATTAAATGCAACAGATAGTTAGTCAGTTTAAAAGTTTATTAACAAAATTTATCTGATAGACTTTGACGATGGCTATTAACTAACTTCTATATGTAACTTTTTAACTTACATTTTATCTTTATTACAAATCAAAGTAAGAAACAATTGCTGGGGCTGACTATTATTGATTGTTTTATTACGCATACTAATAATATTTTACAAAATGAAATGAATAAATATGAACTTAGCTATTGCTCCGCTTTTCGCATGAGTAAATTTTACAAGTAAAAAACAATGGTGTATAAAATCATATACCATATTTTATGTTAGACCTTCAAGAATTCTATGAAAAGCGCATCAAATTTAGTGCAGTAGTTTTTACGAATTGCCGGCACCATACAGTCAGATGAACATAATTATTTAATAATGAAGAAATAATGAATGCTTTGACTGTTATTATTGATTACGAATATTTATATAATTTTTTTCTAAAATTCTGCTATGCACAAATATTAACTGGATTTTAGATTTAATCTTCTTACGAAGCTAATTACTAATATAACAAAATATTGATGGAGTTATTTAAATAACTTCCACAAAAATATACGTTTAACTGCAAAATTGTAAAAGGCATATTTACAAGCTATTATCATCTCTTAAATTCTACTTTCTTTTATTTTACTTTTATATTTTGGTAAGTATTCTTGATACTTATCAAAATATTTTAAATAATTTGCCTTTAAATCTGTGAATAATGTTACAACAAATTTTACTGGTAGGTTTTTATAGTTTCTAAGCTAGATATAAATATGTTTCTTTCTTCACAATGGAGTTAACATATGAAGTATCATTCCATAAAACTCTCTCTTAAATTTTAAATTTAGTAATTTAGTCAAAATATTAGGGTTATGGAGTAAAGTTAACTGTTAGTTTTTATTCAAATATAAAATTAGTTTTTATAAGTTTTCATATTTAACAAACTAATTTTATAAACTATAAAATTAGTTTGTATTTAGAACAGCGATTTCGCTGTAATATTAATTTTTAGACTAGAGATAGAATAACGATTCGAAATTGACACTCTGTGTCAAATATCTATACGTGTATTAGTACACATATAGTTACAGTAGTCAACAAATGTAGGTAAAATATTTTGCAGTTTAATTAATTGAACAAAAGTAATGCATTTGTATTATGATACGACTAAGCAGTCTGCGTACCATACTCTATGCCGCGGGCGGGCCGCGACTCGCGCCGCCATTCTGGATATTTTGACGGGAAGGTCGGTCACGTGACATGGCGGCAGGCGAGGGACGCGGGGCGCCGGCTAGACTCTCCAGTAGCCGAGCCATCCGTCTGCTGCTTTGACTACGGCCGGTCGCCGGAATCTACGCCCCGGTCTCAAGCGCTCGCATCTATTACGTACTATTTCGTTTGAACATTTCAAAGCTTTTTCAACTGGAATTTGTATTATTTCGATGCAGCAAGACTCAATAATATATGTTTTACAAGTTTCTAGTGTAAAATGGTGGCGGTTTTGTGATAAGAAGGAGATATTTTCATATTTTTGCACGGCTGTGCGAGCGGCGACGGGGCGGAGACGCCGCGATAGAGCGTCGTGCGTTCGTCCGGGCCGTCGCGACGGCTGGGCCCATTCGGCAGACATGTTTCGATCGCGGTTGGATCGCGTCGCGTGTGCTGGAGCGTAGGCTCTCTCGTGACATGCGCCCCTCGAGGTCTACCGACGGTGGGGGTGACCGAACATGGATGTAGTGACGCCTCACATCACCTCCGTGCTGAAAACGTACCAGGCGAGCGCGCCGCGCAGCCTGCAAGGGCCGGGCTGCGGGCGAGCGGAGCCATGTAGCGAGGCGCCGCCGCCGCCGCCGCTGCCCGCCGCGCCGCCGATCTTGCTCGCGGCGGACCCGGTGCTCGGTGAGCGCGGCGAGACGCTGCTGGAGGGCGAGCCGATCTCGTGCTTCAGCGTGGGCGGCGAGCGGCGGCTGTGCCTGCCGCAGATCTTGACGTCGGTGCTCACCGACTTCAGCCTGGAGCAGATCAACCGCGTGTGCGATGAGCTGCAGATATACTGTTCCCGGTGCACGCCGGAGCAGCTGCACGAACTGAAGTCGACGGGCGTGCTGCCGCGCACGGCGCCGTCGTGCGGCCTCATCACGCACACGGACGCGGAGCGGCTGTGCGCGGCGCTGCTGCACGCTCCAGCCGCCTCCAGCCCGCACAAGCTGCCCGGCTTTCGCGTGTACCACGAGTGTTTCGGGGGTGGTCGCGGTGTGTGCGCGCCGGATCTGAACCTAGTGCAGTGTTTGGAGTGTCGCTCGTTGTACAGCCCGCGGCGGTTCGTGTGCCACTCGCACGAGTCCGAGCACCGCACGTGCCACTGGGGCTTCGACTCGGCGCGGTGGCGCCGCTTCCTACTGGTGGCCGACGAGGAGCTTGACAAGGAAAAGTGCGAGGCGGTGTTGGACGAGCTCGCGGCCAAGGAAACGCCTGCACCGCCGCCGCCACTGCCGCCGCCGCCTAAGCAACACTTGCCCTTGAAAAGGAAACAGGTATGATTGCTTAGGTTTCTACACGTCATATTTATCCACTACACTAGATATCTGGCACAATAATATCTTATATACCTATACCCAACTTAGGTGTATATATTAACTCTACCAAACAAAATATTTTCATTGAATTTTACACGCAGTTAGGTAGGTATTTCTGCGGTTTTGAATCTCCTTTTAGCACTTTTACCGAAGTATAGTACATATTCTGTGTTATTACTAGGCACAGATGTAGTACCACGTGTATTGGTCATGCACTTGAATCTTGACTCTACATTAACTACAAAGTAACTAATAAATACGTTACGTTAGTTAGATATATAGGTATTGTGTAGACAAAGTATATACTACCTATATATCTAAGTATTTACATATCTTTTTTTGGAATACTACCATGGTAGGTATACACCTTGGTACCTAGATAATTGTGCAAAATGTACCCGTAAATAAGAGCTAAATTACAGTGGAATAAATACCCTGTCATTCTTATAAGATTCTGGTTAGATTTATAATTGATATTTATATAGATTTTACACAGATTGAAAAGAATATTGATTTTTAAAAATTACAAAAGAAATTAATTCTTATGAAAATATTATTTTATATTCTTTATTGCACTTGTAAATTACATTTTTAATGCATTTATTAATATCGTGAGCAAGGGTGGACTTATTTCTGACAGAGATCTCTTCCATTTAGCTGAATGATTTGAAGGTTTGATAGATCAATTAGAAAAAAGTAAAATTAAGATTATGACTCAAGGGAAAGACAACGTAATTTCCATATTTTCTTTAAAAAGGTAATGGAAGGACTCTCTTGTATGTTGCTTTATTACTGTAGGTGTTTCTAAAATTACTGTGATAATTATAAGTTTCAAGGTTTATTGGCATATTTTTGGCATTATGTGGGAGACGTCTCTATTTTGATGCGTCCAAACCAGCGATGTTTACACAAAATTGGTGTAGATGTGTATTTTTTTTTATGGGTGAAAATGGTATGGTAACCCCGCCTGTGCTATCGGGATACGCTGACGGAGCACCAGTGGAGGGTGATAGATGAGAATGAAAACAGGCCAGTTAGCCCATCATGATGAATTCATCAGGAATTAACCATGATAGTTTCCAGGGGGAACCGCGAGGAGGTCGACCTGGTTGGGTATATTGGTAGCAATGGGATTCTCAGTCTCCATTACTAACAATCCCTTCCCCCCCAGACGTCTCTAATATGATGCGTTCAAACCAGCGATGTTCACACAAATTTAATTGGTGTAAATGTGTATTAAATACCAAATCTGCTGCTACGAAACGAATACTGCGTGATTGGGGTGTGATTGATAATAAAGATAGGTATCAAATGGTATCACAAACAATATGCCATTTTTGTAATGAGTGATAATGGTATGGTAACCCCGCCCGCGCTATCGGTATACACCGGCGGGGCACCAGTGAAGGATGATAGGTGAGAATGAAGCAGCTCAGTTAGCTCATCGTGACGAATTCAATAAGAATTGTTCACGATGGTTTCCAGGGGGAACCACGTGGAGGTCGACATAATAGGGCATATTGTTAGCAATGGGGCTATCAAACTCAATAAAGTTAACAATCCCTTTTCCTTCTACAATATGCCTTTGCAAACAATATTTCTTGTCATGCCGACCTCTACGTGGTCCACTTTGGAGACTGTCATGTTCGCGTAGTGATGAATTTGTCACTATGTCAGAAGGTTAACTACGCAATAATCATAACAATAAATTTTTTTATATTAGATATATATACATATATACTTTGTATGATCAGTAAACAATATAAGAATGTTATTTTTTATTATTTATTTATATAAATACAAAAAGAACCGGTAATTAAAGATTGTGTCCCATAAAAAAACAACTTCAATTGTGACAAATTATTGTTTTTTTATTTAAAAACTAAACTACGTAATCGATTTTTATAAAATTTCTTTAGGACTAAATTGTAGGTGTATCCTTTCAGATAAAAGGTTGAATTTCCGGTTTAGAACTAATTAGGTTATGAAGTAGCAAATATAAAACAAATACAACGAATTGAGAACCGCCTTTTTTTTAAGTCGGTTGCAAAAGTAATAATGTGTCATATTATTTTATTGATTATATAATTCGCTTTTTGTTATTTGTTTATTTTATACACTTTTTATTCGATTACATGTTCAGGATTGTTTATTTACTAAATATGTCAAATACAGAAAAACACATGTATATGTGTATATGTGCACACACACGTATATGTATATATAACGTGTGTGTGTGTGTGTGTGTGTGTGTTTTTATATATTTCAACTAAAAATGTGTTTTAATCTAGATAGATTTTTAGTTGAAATATATGCTTACGATGTAAACATATTCCAACCACGCTGGCGAAGCTGCGGTTAAAAATTGTACTAGACAATATAAAGAAAGAATTGATTGTCTCTTGTCATGGCGTCGAATATTTTATTTCATTCGCATATTATAACTAATAATTATAACATGTATTATCTATTTAGTAATAATTATAGTATTAAAATAGATAGTAAAATTATCTATTAAGTCTTAACTGACAGATCTGTACTGCATTAACACCCTGGCCTGGGGGCAATTATCGTCAGGCTGGATATAGATTGATTTCGTATCTTTCTTTTGCTATTTGGCAATTCTCTATCAGATTAGATCTGTATTTAATAGATAGATAGATATATAATTTATTTGCATTACTTACAGCACACAAATAATAACAGACATAGATAGAGATTCACAAAAAAAGAGATAAAAGAATAATAATAATAATATATTTTTATTATAAATAAAAGAACACTTATACAAAAAAAAAACATAAAAGAAGTAATATAATTTTCCTTTCGTGCGTGTGCCACAGAAACACAAAATGGTCACATGTTAGTTTATTGCTTTGCTCTCAAAAAAGCAAAATATTGATATTCCTTTGTGGCCAAAATCGAATACGCTAACAATAAAATAAAAAAAATCAATTGTTTATACAATATACAATAATGCAAAAGTGGGGGGGGGGGGGGGGAGGAATTGTTAGTAATGTGGACTACCAGTCCCCTGTCAGGTCAACCTCCACGTGGTCCCTGGAAACCATCGTGTTAAACTCCAGGTGTATTTATCACGATGGGCTAACTGACCTGCCTTTCCATTCTCATTTATCACCCCTCATTGGTGCCTCGTCGGTGTGGCTGTGTTTCGTTTTGAAGGGTGGGATATGGCGTGAATTTACTGGGTACAGAGAATTAACACCTGAGTCGTCAGGAATGGCAACGCATGGGGGGTATCATGGGCGAAACAGTATACTCTGTTATGTCCATGGTACTGCTCATGTCTATAGGCAACGGTTACCACTTTCCATCAGGTGAGCCGTCAGTTTGTTTGCCATTCTAAGTTGTATAAAAAATACCGATAGCGCAGGCGGGATTATCATTCCATTATCATATATTAAAAAAAAAAAAATGCGACATTTCATCTAGCAGGTAAACACAATCAAAAGGTACCAAGTTAATATCAAATTTTTGTTTTTCAATTAAGAATTCGCACTCACTACGTTTAATCACTTCGATGATAAATATCGTTGCTCAAAACAACTTTATCATATGTCACAGATAACACAAAATATTATCGAAAACTCTATCTCAACTAGATAACGGTATTATTTCTTTAATGCATAAATATTATCCATGTTTTATCATTGGATCAGTGTGGTAGCGGACAACTGCGTACACGGACAATCCCTCACGTACATTATTGTCCGTTATAACTAATTATATATGTATATATTATAAAATTATAAATAAATAAATTTCATATGTACTTAGACTTCGATTATCTAAATGTATAGGTATAATTGCTTAAAAAAAACTCATCTGCACTGCACTTTATCTTTTTTATCCTTCACTTCGGGCTTAGGTAATAGTAATATAATAGTCGTACTAGGGGGGAATGGATTGTTAGTAATGGAGGCTGAGAATCCCATTGCTAGCAATATACCCAACCAGGTCGACCTCCACGCGGGTTCCCCCTGGAAACTATCATAGTTAATTCCTGATGAATTCATCATGACGGGCTAACTGGCCTGTTTTCATTCTCATCTATCACCCTTCACTGGTGCTCCGCCAGCGTATCCCGTTAGCGCAGGCGGGGTTATCATACCATTTCCATAAAAAAAAAAAAATACTCATACTATATATCTTCGGGTGTCTCGTCGTCTGTATTAAAAAGCAAGGACGGGACATCTAGTTCGACTAATCGTACTAAAAAAAAAGTAAGATTACGCATTGAATAAATAAGGAATAACACCTGAGTCCGCATGGGGGTATCATGGGCGAAACACTATACTCTATTACGTCCATGGTACTGCTCATGTCTATAGGCGACGGTTGTCACTTTCCATCAGGTGGGCCGTCAGCTTGTTTGCCATTCTAAGTTGTATAAAAAAAAAAATATTCGACAATAACTTAGTCTTTGTTTTGATAATAAATTACGGCTACCATGTATAATATTATTGGCAACACAATATGTTTTCATATTGGAGATGATATCTGCGAATTGTTATTTGTATGAGACAGTGTTCCTAGTTTTTCTTTTATCGGCCATAACTTTTATGGCGGTAACAAACTGGTTGGACAACACAAATGTACGTGTGAAGAATAGAGAAATGATTTGGCATGAATCGTAAAGTGAGTTGGGAGATCGGATTGGCGCCGGTTTGGTACTACTTCTGTTTTTTTTTTTTTTTTTTGTGAAAATGATAAACGAGCTGACGGCCCAATTGATAGAGCTGTTATGTTTTGTAAGGGACCATTTACTTGAAGAGTGATAATTTACCTGTATAGGGGAGAAAGGGGTTGTTAGTAATGGGGCGTAACAGCCCCATTGCCAGCAATATGCCTTATTAGGTCGATCTCCACGCTGTTCCCCCTGGAAACCATTGTGATTTAATTCTTATAGAATTCGTCGCAATGGGCCAACTGGCCTG